CAATCAACAGTCCCATTATGTGACACAGAGAGGGGTGTGCACATATATGGCACTTTTTTCAACTGCCCACTATACTTATTCCCATATCTGGCAGGCAGGTACAAGCATTCCCATACACAGTAAACACTGAGCTGTGTTCCTGTATGTCATGAAGTGCATCCACACTTGTTTTTGTAAGGGAAAGCACACTTTCTACAGCCTATAACATGCTCTGCTACCTGGCAACTGTTTCATTATTACAAATCAGTTAAAAAGAAAGATTTAGTTGCACAGAGCTACTGCAGAAGGTTTCCAAATTCAATTATATAAGATTATTGTAATCCAAAATCATTTTAAAGGACTTGTAGATTTGAGAAGGTCTGCACAAAATCCTTCACATACCTCAGGACTTTATCAATTAAATAGTGAGGTATTTAGCACAATTGTATATGTAGTGTCATCAGTGGCCTTTCAGCACCATGGACATCATCAAACCGGAAACGGCAATTTAGCAGCATAGCTTCTTATTTGGCCATATTTTTGTTGATTTGCTTGCTTGCTATTTTAAATCTTTTAACAATTAGATTTATAGTCTATAGCCAGTCAATATTTGGGATTTATTTTAGTTCAGTTACTAAAAGCAATTGAAAGCTTGTCGATTGCAATTTGTTCAGGAAGTTGCTTTATTCCAACTCTATTTTTTCCAGTGTAACCAAGGGGTAACTGACTGAAAGCTGAATTGCTTAGAGCACGAGTAGATAGAGACCAATCAGACTTAAGAGTCTGCCTCAGCATGGAAACATACACATAATGACAACACTAACATGTTGATGTTTAGCAGGTATAATGTTTATCATTGTACTTTAACATTTTAGCATACTTTACTAATTAGCGCTAATTAGCAAAGTAATGCTGAGGCTGATTGCAATGTCATTAGTTTTGCCACACTGCTAGCTTCACTACAAGCAAGTAAAAACTTCAAACACATATTTTTCTTCTTAGACTTTATTAGACTTCATGAAACTCTTCCTATCCAGCCTTAAAGGCTTAGTTATTTTTGTAACACACCATTTCAAATGGACAAAGACCCACAATGCAACCAATGAGAACACAAAGGATTTCTGAGAAACAGCTACAGTTTTACCTTGGTGTATTCTTTCCACATCAACATCGGAGCTAAGAACTTGACTGAGCCAACGCTTCACAGCAACTTGCCCTCATTGACGTGACATTTCTGCCAGAGGAGATATCTTGAATAGCTAGAGGTAAATACAAATAAAACTCCCTAAACAAAGGGGAGGTATTTAAAACGCTCGGTTGTGGAGGCAAACTGCAGGTTAGCACTAGCCTGGGAGCTAACGGGTAAAATGAGCCTAAGGAGTACACCAGGATATACTTTCAGGTCAAACGTTTACAGTGGATTAGGTAAGAAGAGGAAAAAGTTACTAAGAAATGCAAGAAAATTATATATAAATAAAAGGTATAGGTAAAGTTAATCAAATGTAATTGAACTGAACAGACCTGACACTTCCAATCCGACACATATGGATGCTGACAAACAAGCCAAGTATAATGCAAGGATTGATTGCTGTGAGGTCCTCTCTAAATAACGCTTTTACCTAGAAGGTAATTAGGAAGTGAGCAGATGCTGGTATTGAGTGCTTTCAGCGCCTGAGAGAAGCAGTAATTGTTTTCTGTTGATTACATGGCCTTTTGACAGAAAAAGGGTCACTGCAGTAGTGACCACAGACTACTGGTCTGAGAAGACCTACCAGCACACGGTGCACAGAAGCATGGGAGAGTGAGTGGAAAGCCAATATGCAAAGTAGAATCTGATCCTTACACTTACATTGAAGCATTGTTGAAGTTAAAGAGCTGTCTGCCATTATCTGTTATGAACACTGTCATCACCACCGCATTGCATTGTGGGATATTTATGCCGGCATAGTCTCCAGTGTTTGCATACTGTAATATTTCACCCGAAATAGTATGCAATTCACATACTATTGGTTTCAAAGAAAGTTTTCAGATGTACCAGAAAATCCCATGTACTGTTTTAGCTCACTAAATCGCATGTTAGTATGGAATTGCAGACGCAGCCATCTCGCTTTACTTCTCAGTGGCTTTTAATGGTTACAGTGTGCTTCCTTTTAGATTATTGTTGTCGTGAATTAGTCCTTTGTTTTTACCAATTCATGGTAAAAAGAAATGAACCTACTGTATAATGTTTCTCTTGCATTACTATTCAAAACAATATCAATAGAGCATATTTTGACTCAAAATGTCTTGATAGTTTTGGTTCCTTTGCTTTATTACAACTGCAAACCCCACACCCTAATTTATTAAACCTGGAAAGCAAAGTTGTATTTGCAGATGCAGTGCGAGCTACCATTGTCCAGTTCACAGACCTTTCAGTGTCTTTACTGGTGGGAATCAACAGAGGAGAGACTGTGCGGTTTGTGTTTCTTGAATGCTGGCTCCATCTGCTGGTTATAAGCTTAACACTCTTTTCACAATTTGCTGCTTGGGTAACGTAAACTAAATCATGAGATCACAACAAAGGTTGATGCCTCACTCTTACAGCAAGCTGTCAATGATAATGATGGGTGTGTCTTTATAATTGTGTTGACTGAGAGTATAAGGTTTGCAGGGAGCAATGAAAAAGTTTCCCGCAAACCTCCCACAGAGATCATAAGTTCACCTCTGTGACGTACTTTCAATGTCAACACAACTGCGAAACCCTTAATTTACAAAGTTAGCTCAAAGTTAAACAGGGCTGCCCCGGTTCTTTTATTACAGTTGAACTGCATTGACTGCTGCCCTGACAACCTTATGTCACCGTGTCAGAGTTACAATGTCCCTCTGTCTCAGTTTGTGTAGTGTCTTAATGGATGGAAGAAGCTGTGGTGTCCTCTGTGGGAAATTTCAAATGTACAGTATATCATATCATTTCGAAATGGTGGCATAAAGTCTGTAAAGAGAGAGGACAGTGGATGGAATTATTGAGGAATACAGATCCTCTTTTAAATCTTAGGGTGTTGGTCTGAGTGGAGCCTCATCATGTACTGGTAAACAGGAGACCCTCTGAAAAATGTTGCTACAGGATGTGATGAGTGTTTATGTTGGTGGTGTTGTTGACCCTGTCATGTTCATGCTGGCGGGATAAGAGGCCCAGACAGTTTTACTGGAATGCCTATCAGCAGGCAGCTGGCTTGTCAAATGCTCTCCAGAGATTTGGTTTCATCAGACATTATGGCAGAAATGTGTCTTTGACTAAAACAAGTCAATAATAAGTTTGAAGTTTATTTTGTTGCCCTTCAAATCGAGCAGTTGAGTCATAATAATTGAAATTTCTTACACATGCTTTGTTGCTGTTGGAAGAGAGCAAAGGGCATTTGTATACGTTGCAAAAACAGCTCACACTTTGTCTAATTGCCGTCCCAGAATCATTTCAATTCACATAGTTTTGGAGGATTTGATACGAAAAGCCATACAATTTACAGAACAAGAGTTCCAAGTCGCGGTCTATGGGAGGAGGAATATTCGTGAATGTTGGAGAAGTCAGAGAAGCCACAGTTATGCAGGGAGCTGGGCTGCGGCTTCCTTCTCGTGGCAGATCCTCCCCCTCGTCTGGAAGCTGTTGAGTTCTCTTCCAGATGTGGCCGCCTGATCTTTTTAACGATGGACTGGTACAGGCAGAGAATAACAGAAATAAAGGTTTGAAAAACAACAGAAACAAGACTCCAAGAGATGCAAGGGTGGAAGTACTGGGTACAAACTAAAATTAGGACTTAAGTAGATTTTATTTGACTTTTGGAGAGGCAAGAACTGCAGTTTACATTAATACAATCCTTGCCCAATCAGGAGGATGTTCCAGTTTTGCTCGGAAGCTCTTTCCCCTATAAGGCAATCTCTGAGAAAATGTAAAAAAAACTAAAAATGAACATTTTTGTTTGGACAGCGGTGGAGGAATGGTTTTATAAAGATATTCATATTTAAATCAGGATACCACAATGGGCCTTTCATGAAAACAATAAGTAACTGCTACTGAGAGTAGTCTTCAAACGAGCTACATGTTTTCAGCGTAAGCATTCTGTTTCAGTAACATTTAAGTGAAGGAACAACAGTGTAGATCTTTCCCCGACATCTTACTCTTGTTCTCTCAACAAAAGCAAAACACACACACACACACACACACACACACACTCACAGTTTGGAATATACTAGTTGTTTAAAAGCAGGTGTCTTTGACTTGGTCATCCTCCAGAGAGAACAGGTTGCACAGCTGTCTGACACACACACACATGTGTACACTGTGCACACAAGCAAGGAAAGAGAGAGAAAGAGACACTTAATGAAAGATAGCAAACAACTTCTTTACTCCGGTGACTCTGGGTTCTTGTTGGACAGCTCTGGCAGGGAGATGCTCCTGCTGTGTCTTTTGTATGTGCAAGTGGATCAAACAAAAGCGTATTGAGGAATCTCTGGGAAGCCCAAGTTGTTGGAAAGGAATGCCCTCTTCTCTTGAGGCTCAGTGCTCGAGTCTTAATCAGTCACCGGAGGGGCTGTTGAACTTGGGGGCCTCCTGTACATGGCGGGCGGACAGGAACTCACTCACTCCTGACCTCACTTGCCTCAATAAAATCTATTAGCTGAACACAGAGGGGCCAAAGGCTGGTCATTGCTGCTGACGTGATACAGATACAGTTAGCCTTTTCATGGTAATACTGTCTTTATGTAACATCTTTCTCAATCCTGGGAATGGCTGAATATTTCAATGCAGGCATTTTTTTTTTGTCTGAAAATGTTTAAATTCTTAGATGAATAAGAAAATATGAGCAGTAACAGAGGTTCTGAAGTAAAAGTGGAAGTTACTTTTGTCCAGTACAAATAATGGAAACATAAAGGGTGTGCGTTTCCCTCTATAAGAAGGCGGAGATTTCTCCCTGGGGTCCTGAGCCAAACTGGTGTTATGTAACTTACACTCTGCTCCTCATCCTGATGTGGAGTTACCAGAAAGTTTGCAGGCAGCGGGTCTGTGAACATGGAGAACATGCGTCTGCAAATCGGTGGCGGGACATTTTTAAGAAAATTGGCCTTTAGAGCTGATGTTTAGCCAAAGAGCTGTCTTACAGCCATAAACCTAATTGAAAACTGACCTTAAACACTGCCAGGATCTTTGTTGGTTAATGTTCAACTCTGGAAGCTGCTGGTGCGCATGAGGAATTTGGAAATGGGACTTTGCATTTAGATTTTGAAAGCAGCCAGACAGACGGCCATGGGCAGCGGTACAAGCCGAGGGAAGAAAGTTGCACCTGCGTGTGTCAGCGAGGTGAACGTGACCCAAACAACTGCCGGTGTCACTTACCCCAAACAGGACAGCCGTCCATTCAAGCCTCTCAAAATCCATGCGATTTTGCGCAACGCGCGCAACCGTGCGCAACCGGACTGCCACAGCGAGGGACACGACTCTGACTTTTCCAGGGAGGACGATGACATTGATGGAGAGATGGACACCTTTCTCACAGATTGCAAGGAGCGAGGGAGAGCTACCGTGAAGACAAATCATCCGAAGAAGACGGTCATCAGATCCAAAACATACGGACTGTGTCATTTCAGCCAGGAGGATGACGAGGATCTCAGCTCAGCTCCTCGGTCCCGAACCGAGGAGCCACGTGGCTCACGCGGTGGATCAAGAGATGTAAACAAGAGGAGCGGGGATGCTTTCACACCTGCTTGCCCCAGTCAGTGCAGTGTAAGGACTTTTAAATTCTATTATTTTATCATTATTGTTGAATAGCACAGGATGTATCTAATCATAACAGTTTATTATATATCATTAACAGCGTGATGATATTTGAATAACAATGAGTCGAAGATGAAAACCCATGTTACCCTTTCTGTCCTCTCTTGTTTATGTCAGTCTTCCTCTCAGGGCTGTTTGACAAGAGGGGCTTTGTTGGAAGCTGTTCCCACATCAGAAAAACAATCGTAAGTAAGACAGCTGTAATAAATATTGGATTTCCGAGCTCAGTGGAGTAGTAAAAACCGAGCAGGGCCAGATCAAATTCACCTTAAAGGGATAGAAATACCAACCCACTATTCTCAGGGCAGATCAGATTAGTCAGACGTCTGCAAGCAGGGCAGAAACAAACAAGTGTCTGTCTGTTTCTGCTTTGTTTGAGGTTTGTGTGAAAACCGGTCGCTCAAAAAACAACATATTTCCATAACATGCCTCAAAAACAACTTCACTAAATATATTTCATACTGGCCCTTGGTGGCCTTTTAGTGAATCATATACATTAGAAATTCATCAGTTGATTGTTTGATGTTGTTGTGGGTTGATCTATACATCTGGTGTGAAAATATCAAGTATCACTTACAATTCCTGTTTTTATTACCATGTTCTTGACATCATGTCTCTCAACTCTCCTCAGGACTTTTGGCAGCTGCCATAGCTCCTCTCTCACCATGCCAGTCATCCTGTATGATGGATCAGAGGAAGAGCTGATGGAAACTATTGAGAAAGAGTTTAGTTGACCCCCAGCTGAGAAAGCTGCAGGAAAGCCGTTGTCCTTTCCAGCTGCCCTCATGGCATACAGCAGTTTGCAGAAGAAATAAAAATAAAATAGAAAGGGAAGCAGGGTTTCTTTTGACAATTTCCTGCTACTAAGGAAGGCTACATTCATTGTATTTAAGCAGGATTTCCAATTTAACGTTGCTTGTGTTTCTGCACTCAATGCCTCTGCATTTACCGAAGTCTTATTTAACAACATGAAGCAGTGTAATTGCAGAGTTATAACACCATCCTCAACCGGTGCCAGGAGGTTCTCTTCACAGACCAGGTCTGACAGAAGCCTCCCCGGTTTGTTATCTGCAGTGGTCTGGTGTCACTGTCACCCCCCACTGCAGGCCTCCCACAGAGAACACACCTACTTATTTGTTACCTATTACTTGTCTGTTAATAAGTTAAGGAGAGAGCACGGATATCTCCCTGGTTTCTAAAACTGAAATAGCAGTCAACGCACATTCTTGTGGCTATATGCAAAAATAACATTTTCCACCAGCAGTTTTGTGCATTCAGCGCAATGTATAGGCCAGGGTATCGTTTTTCAGAAGTGGACACCCTGCAAAGGTATGAGCTGGTACTGTTTATTTCAGGTTTCCTTCCTGGCTGCAGTTCCTGCACTTTTCCACCCTTATGAAGAAGGAATGTGTGACAACAGAGACTCTCAGTCAGGCTCAGTTTGACCCAGCTGCGTTTCAGCCACAGTGAAACGTAAAGGCCTGCTGCCACTTAGTGGTGGAACACAGAAGTTGTGTGCATGAACACACACTTGACCATTGATGTGATTACTATGTGTCAACAATCTGAATTTTGTCAGTTTAACGAAAGGTAAATCCCAATTAGAAACGTAAAAGAAGAGTTTTGTAATTTTGTTTTATATTGCAAATAAAAAATGATTATTGTATTTTTGATCATGTGTGAATTGGTGTGTGTTGCCTTAGTTTACTGATACTTTATATACCTCTCTAGTCTAATAATCCACATCAGGCAAAAAACACTTCAATGTGCCATTTAATTATCACAGTCCTCACAGGTTGTAATAGTATTCAGCAGGCAGACTGTACAAAATAAAATCTGCATCTCTAAAATCATAAAATAAAACACCATAAATATGTTTGCACAATATATTTAAAAAATAAAAACGCTGCCACACAGTGTGATTGGAATGTTCACACTGAAGGAAGTACAGTACTTAAATAAGAAATTGTATGATATTGCATTGTTTTTGGCAATGATAACATTCTTTGAACTACTATCTTTGCTTCTTGGTCGGCCTGTAGAAAGACATCCTCGTCTGTACTGCCGTCAGGAGTTTGGGAGGAAGGAGAGGAAGCTGATATCTGAGCGTCTCATAGTTCCTCAAATTCATTGCAATATAATCCTCACAAATCCTGTCAGAAGAAAAAGACCGTCATTTTCTCATTTCTATTTTGGGAAAAAGATTATGTAAGCAAAGTAAATATAACCCTTGTAAATTAAATGATACATCTAAAGAGGTTTATCTTGATACAATACATTATATTTAAAACATGACCTTTTAAATGCAGATATTTTAATTGCCAGAACAGGAGAAGCACAAGGGAATCTAATATAATTAATGATGGCTCTAACCAGTAAGCCAGCATGCACATTATGGAGCTAACACCTAAATGTAATCCATCATTAATTGATGTTATCAATTCCAACTGTTTGACAAGTCAGAATGTCTATTTCTGCTATACAATTATTAGATTCGTCTTTCTGTGGCTTATAAAATGATATCTTTGATGTTTTCTAAATAAAGACCTTTCTTACCTGAAAAGAGGATATGGCTGCATCTGGAAAACAAGTGCATCATTGCAGTGACCCTGAAGAGAAATGTGCAGGATTTGTAAGGGTCTATTTTGAATCTCATGCAGGTTTTCTGTGAAGTGTTATTCAGTACACGGACACTAAACAGCACCTGAACACATCTTCATTACAGAGCTGTTGAGAGTTACTTTACATGTCTCTCCACATAGTTTCAGAGTTGCAACTGTGGTAATGTGAATTTGCTATGCTTTTAGAGATTTAGTTTGTCATGTGATGATTTCAGCTCTCTAAAATTAGAATCTCACATCTCTTTTTCAGCTTCTAAAACGTCTCTGTGATACTTACGGTGTCAACAAGGAGGATAGAGTCACAGCTTCCACCAAACACAATGACATCAGAGTCTTTGCCTGGACTCGCAGTGTGCCACAACCTTGGACAGGGGAAACAATTTACAGCCACACTCTTTAAATCTAGCACAGAATAATAAATGAAAAACTCGTAATTTTGTGGTTGCACATCTTGTAAACATTCATAAATTGCTACCTTGGCTTATCTTTAAAAGGATGCTGAACTTCTCTCCATTTCTTTGTTTCAACATCAAGCAACCACCCATCACCTGATTGATGAAAAAGACAAGAACATAAATTGACCAAAGGAACAAGGAGAATAAAAGTGAAGAAAGGGGTACATTTTCTTACTCATTGGTTTGCAGTCTACACTGAGACCTCCGAACAGGAACAATCCGCCGTCTGATAGAGCGGTGAGCGTATGCCACGATCTACCCACTGGAGAGGTGGACAATGGGATTCTGGAAAACAGGTTTTGCACAACGCTGTCAAAGACAAACCTATCAACAGATGAGCCTGCCTTAAAATATCAATGACAATGTTGAGATAGACGTCTTCTAGGCACCTGTAGTTTGTCATTGATCACAACACATACGTACATTTCTGACCACGTCCATGTTTTAAAGTCTAGGCAGTGAATGTCACTCGTCCTGGTTTCCTGCATTTAAAAGAGATGAAGTTACTAATGCAGACTTTGATTTGTGTTTCTCTGCTTGCTGCTACCGATGACTTCTTGTTGATGTGAACATATGAGAAGAACTGAAAAGCATGTAGAGCTCCCACCATGACTCTGCCTCCACAAACGTATCCTCTACAGCTGATTGCTGCACGGCATGGGCGGCCCTTGGGGCTGGAGCACGGCCCTGCACACAAAAACTGTCTCTGTAATATCATGTGAGAATTTTGAAATTGTTCTCAATACTGCTAAACTTCCCTTATCGCTTAAATCTCACATCACTACTCGTAATCTATTCATTGCATTGAGTGTATAAAAGCACAAATCACACTGTGACTACCTGACTCACATGGGTCTGTGGTTCACCCCAACTGGCTTTCATGGTGTCAAATACATGAACCTCGTTGTTCCATCCCCAGAGGACATCTTCCATCTGAACAGACATGTTTAACATGAAATTATTCGTATCTATATGAGGCTGTTTACGAGTAGTATTGGTCAGTTTTGTCACAAGATGCTGAAATATATCACTCTCTGGCCTGACACATATTAGAACAAAATCTCGTAAAAATTAACGAAAAAAGAAACAAAAGAAAACAGAACTCCAAATAACTCGTGTCACTGATATCCTGTTAAAAATATGTTCACTGCACTGGTGGGATAGCAAATGTGACAGATTTATAGTCAATCAAAATATTACCCATGATGCTTCATCAACAATGAAGCTTCTGTTCCTGCTTTCAATATTGGTCAGCAGTTTGCGGCCATATCCTCCAAAGTAGATGATCCTGGAGAACATTAATCAAAGATGATCACAATTACTATCATGCAAGCGCAGATTATGGGTTCAGTTGGTAACACAGTGATCAAAAAACAGCAACAGAGGGAAAGGAGAGGCTCTCTGCACACTGACATTTTCGAGCTCCTATATGTTTTTATTAGTGCGATGTTTTGACGTGCAAGGCATGAAAACAATCAGTATTCAACTAAAAATGAGAGGATACGGAAACCAAATTCATAGCTGCAAATGTGTGTTTTGACGGGTAATAATGAAGCAGTAGTTCATAAAGTCACAGGTACAACTTCAAACAGTTAAAATTCACATTTTCATGGTGCTTACCTTTCATTGTAAACCCAGCAAGACAGTTTGTCTCGAGGTGAAGGAGCAGAGCCGCTCTCATGCACGATCTTCCGCCACATGTATTTACCATCTGTCAGGTTGACACAATAAATCAGTTTGAAGGCAAACAGTGATCACTTCTTCTTGTCAACTTTGCTCAGTCTAAGATGTGACATTCGGGTGATTCATTATGTCAGTGTACTCACACCCTGCAGGACATTTTAGACATAGCTTGATGTAGGGCTGGGCGATATGGCCAAAATCTTCTATCAGACTAAAGGTCATTTCATATCTTCATGACGATATATACATCACGATAAAGCATGTTTTCTGGTAGTTCAATGAATTGATAATTGTGTATTACAATATCTTAATACCTGATTTCAACACGAAAGGAAATAAATTGTCATATTGAAGTATTGCCAGCCCTACTTTGGTGTTCATGGTTATTTAACCACACAATAACACATATAATGAAACGTGTCGTATATGTGAAGTAATCCATAATTAAGGTGTCATGAACTGTGTGGAGTATCAGTCATCCGCCTCACCTGGTTGGTCTGTTCATTGTCATCACAACCTCCAAATATGTACAAGTGTCCATTCAGAGAGCAGCCGCATGTCCCCGACATAGAGGGAGGGACTTCCCCTGACATGTGAAACATTTCCCTTCAAAAGAAGTAAAAAAGAATGTTGATAAAACTACTTAAATTCACTTATGTTATGACACATTTTTACAACAACGCTAGACAGCAGATCATTCCAGGCAAGTCCTTATCATTTCAAACTTAAGATAATTGTGACGTGCCTGTGCAGTGGCAAAAAATGATGAAACTCCCCACAAAGAGGAAGAGGATTTCATATTACTGTGGGGGAAATTTTGACATCAAACAGCCACATTTGGAATTTGTTTTGTATTCTTACCATGCACCTTGTTCTAAGTCGTACACCCAGATTTCATCGTTGGGAAGGAAAACCTCCCCATCAGCAATTGACTGTAGAGGATACATGTATATTATCATGACATAAATAGGTTCGGTGGCAATATGTCTTGAGTCTGTTAATGTGCTGTAAACCATATTAGCATGCTGGTTTGCTCAGTATGTATTTTTCGTAGTGTGGGTATGTGTGGGTGCTGCATAAACGGTGGTGAAGGAAGTAGTCAGATCCTTTACTTGAGTAAAAGTAGTAATAACACACTGTAAAAATAGTCCATACAAAGAAAAGTTCTACATTTAAAATGTTTGAGTAAAAGTAAACGTACTTAAGTATTATCCGCAGAATGTGCTTAAAGTATCAAAAGTAAAAATAAGTGTTATGCGCAGTCTCAGTCATTTCACAGTGTTATACTATTCTATATATTCCATTACTGGATTGTTATTAATGTATTATTAATTGTGCACCAACATGTAAACAGCATCTTAGCTGTAGTTTTATCTGTAACCATGGATCATATGTCACAGGCTGATCGTGTGCTATGTTTTGCTCTAAAAAGTAAAACATAGGAGGCCTAAGACTGATTTCTGTGTGTGGTGTTTTATGCTAACATGACATTGTATCAGTACAAGCTGACACACGTAAAACAGCTGATTTGGCACATTTTTCTTTTTTGTGTTACTTAGTTTGGCTCACCAAGTAACCCCCCCCCCCCACACATAGAGCAGGTCTTCCTGGACCACAGCCGTGTGTCCGCTCCTCTCCCGGGCCACCAGCTCCGAGCAGTGCCTCTCAAACGCGGAGTCCATGACTGGCTGCTATTAATAGAAAGAACCGAGCTTTTGAGCCTTTTAAAAAAATAAAATCTGTCTAAAAATGTCATCAGGTTAAGCAGTTGTAATAGTGAGAGAAGTAACAAGAGCGAGCTGAGGCAGACACAAACCAGGCTCCTCATGTTGTCTTCGGTTTAAGATAAACATTAGTACATGTTATGGTATTTGTACATGCGATTATGTACATACGAGTATTCTAGCGATTATGGAGGGCTAACCTTACAGAATGGTAGGTAAACAAACGGTGTCCACATTACAGAAATGAGCCTATTTTTCCACAAAAACACTTCTAAACATACTCACGTTCGCTTTTAGTTATCGTGACGTTTTTTTCCTCATCGTGTGAAAAACAGCAAAAAAATTCTCGCTCCCATAAACTGCGTCAAAACAGATACAGAATAATTTTCAGCTTCCGGTCCTTTTTTTGCTTGTCAAAATAAAAGCTTTCTGTCGTGGTTCCTGACAAAACTAGAGAGCAAAGCGAGTAGCGCGTGATTCTTCAGCGGAAGTGACGAAATACATGCGGAAGTGGACGTTTAGCGCCAAATCTTGAGTCCGACAGCAACAACCATGGATGTTGCTGGCAAAATAAAGACAAAAGTGTCCGTTGGCTTCAAGATGCGGGGACTTATACTACGACCGTATGTATTTTAATAATAGCTGACCGTTGATGTAATGTGTTTTGCTAATGGTGTAACATTACTGCCCTTCATGAAGCAAGAAAGCTAACACCTCTGAGGCAGCGAGTCTTGATAGCGGCAAGAAATAAACAATATTAAGTTTTGTTACAAAAAGCATGCTGTGGTTTTGTGTAGATTTGAATGTTTTCTTAATTGTTTTGTCCTCCACTAAAGTCAGGAGGTTCCCTGTGGTACCTTTATTCGCTTAACGGTACACATGAAATGTCAATAAATACCTGCAGTAATTCCACTTCAACTAGCTATAAATGCTTACACTTAAGGTGGCACTTCAAATCTATATATGCGCCAGCTAAATATATTTATATGTAATACAAAACAAACAATAAGGTTATTTTCTAAAGCGGAAAAATTAAGATTAAGTGTTAAATGTTTCCAGTGTTTTTTGAAGTAAGCACACACATGCTTCAAAATAATAACAGCATGTGCATGTGTTCTTGTTTTGTCCTCCAGTGAGGCCAGCAGATACCTTGTGGAGGTCCTGGAGTCTGTCAATGCCTCTGAACTGGATGATGTTATTGAAAAGGTCTTGGATGCAGTGGAAAAGCAGCCATGTGAGTAGAGCACTATTGTGCACAATCTGCTGTATGCAGCACTTAATGCGTTTCTGTGAAGCATGCTTACAGGTTGTGACCACATTGTGTGTTTTCCAACAGTGTCCTCTACTATGATAGAGCTTTCTGTGGTGGAGAGTGCAGTTCAGGATTGCACTCATTCTTGTGATGAAACCATGTAAGTGCAACAATTAGACACTCGATTTTGCGAGGTTGAATTATTTTATGCTAAAAGTTGTCTTAACTCTCTTCCAGAGATAATGTTTTTAACATTATTGGAGCCTTTGATGTGCCCCGATACATTTACAGCATGGAGCGGAAGAAATTTGTACCGTAAGTAAAGGGACTGTTTCTTGTTTGTGTCAAAATCAACCCCAAATTATGTCAATTAGAATTGTTTTATTGTTGTTGGTGTTAGACCCAGGTAATGCACTTGCATGTACGGCAGATAAAGTTTTCATTTGGTTTTTTTTTAAATCAGCATTAGCATGACGAGCCATTCGGCACCCAGTCTGTGTGGTTTGGCCAAAGACAAAGCTGAACTCTTCAGGGAGCGCTACACCATCTTACAACAGGTCAGTGACTTTCTGGTCATTGTTGAATTTCAAAGCGGGTGGTGCTGACCCACTCCCTTCGCTGCTATTTACAGTACGTGTAGCTTATCGTATTTATTCTGACATATTTTTTGCAGCGTATCCATCGGCACCAGCTATTCACCCCACCTGCAATAGGAGCTGCTGTTGAAGAGGGTCAAAACAAATTTCAGGTAACAAAACTTAAAACGCACAATTGAAAGCAAAACGCATCTTACTGTTTTGCATTAGATTAACAGATATGTTTTTTTGTTCTTAGCTCAAGACAATTGAAGCACTGCTTGGTAGCACAGCTAAACTGGGAGAAGTGATTGTACTAGGGATGATCACACAACTAAAAGAGGTGAGTTGGAAGCTTTCCCGTTTTTCACTCAATGTGATATCTAGTTTCTGAGACATTTTTTAATTTTTGTTTCAGGGTAAATTTTACCTAGAGGACACAAGTGGAACAGTACAGCTCGAGATGTCCAAAGCAATATCCTTTCATATGTTTGTTTGAGCGGGTCAACAAAAGCTACTTTATATCATACAATATGTTGTTGCTTTCAAAGTGGATGTATTCCTTAACTAGGTTCTCACCAGTTTCATAATGGCCTGTACACGGAATCCTGCTTTGTACTGGCAGAGGGTAAGATAACTACTAATACTACATCATAAGATCATAACAATAAAGTATTACTACATACAGATATTACAGTGACGGTTTTGTCCTGCAGGTTGGTACGAGGACTCTGTTTTCCACGTTAATGGCTTCGGGTTTCCACCAACGGAGTCGTCATCAGCCACAAGGTCAGTGGACTGGAAGAAAAGAGTTTAGACAAGTTTTATTGCAAGCTGAAGTAGTGAGCTGTCAGTGTAGCGATATGTGCAATCTAACATAAGGTATTGGAGAAAGTCTTTAGCTTTTCATGGTTGAAATGACAAAGATTGAAGGAGAATCTATTTTCATATCTTTGAAGTTGTTTTACCTTGTTGTTGATATGCAAAGAAAATGTCATTGACGTAGCATGAAGGCTAAGAATTATTTAGTTTCTAAAGGACACAGCTTCATGTGAAAGAAGAGTGAGTCACTGACACTCTTTGCTTTATTGCCAGGGCATACTACGGCGATCTCAACTTCTTTGGTGGTCCATCCACCACTTCGGTGAAGGCTTCAGCCAAGCTGAAGCAGCTCGAGGAGGAGAATGAAGATGCCATGTTTGTAATTGTCTCTGATGTTTGGCTGGACAGTGTTGAAGTGATGGAAAAGCTCAACATGATGTTCTCAGGTCTGGTAGTGCATAATCTCAACCTGTAAAGTCTAAACTGAATGCAATATGTGAGACACCAATCCCTTTAACCTTTGCTTTGTTTTTTCTTACAGGCTATGCTGCGATGCCTCCTACCTGTTTCATTTTGTGTGGAAACTTCTCTTCTGCCCCGTATGGAAAAACACAGATCAAATCACTCAGAGGTGACACTTTGGGGTCCTCATCACTCATAACCTACTGTAGATTTTGAGATCTGTTCGTGTAATAACGGGATAAACAGACCGCATTTCAGAATCTAATTATTTTTTCTCCTTTCAGACTCATTGAAGGTTCTTGCCGATGCTATATGTGCATACCCCAGCATTCACAGCAGGTAGGATGTGATAGTTACTGTAGTCTTCTCTGTTCTAGTCTTAAGGGTTCTCTGCAGATTTCTTTCTCTCTGGTAGTGCTGTGGAGCTGTGAGTAAGATGAGTAAGTTCCTGTTGTGTTTATCTAGTGCACATGAGGGCGCACATGCAGGTGACACAATACACTCCTGTCAATGGGTTCACACTATTCCACTGATCTGCGGGTGGCAGTAACGTACCAAGAAATGTTGCAATGCTCCAACAAAGGCAAAGAATTCAACAATTGTCAACAATTCTGGATTTAAAATAGACTTATGAGGAAGCAAATACATTGAACATGTTTGTGAGCAACACTGAATGTAAACATACGTCTTATTTGTTAATGTGAAAACTCCACAGGGCACCTTTAACTATTCAATGTCCATGTGTTTGACTTAAATTTGTTCACCCTGATCCTGCAGTTGTCGCTTTGTGTTTGTTCCTGGCCCTGAAGACCCTGGTCCAGGCACCATACTGCCACGGTAAACATTCAGAGAGAACTGCTCTTTAACATCATTGTGTGAGTTTCGTTTAATAGATTTTGGACAAATTTGGATTAACATGTTTTCCTTAGGCCTCCTGTGGCAGATCACATCACAGACGAGTTCAGACAGAGGGTGCCATTTTCCGTGTTCACTACTAACCCATGCAGGTAAAACATAAGAAGCATTTAAAAAAGTATCACAAAGTATTTCTTATGTAGAGTGATCGGGGTTGTGGTGTACACAAGGTTAGTTTGTAAGCCTTTGACAAATGTGTCATTGGAATCAGGACATTTTGGCAGTATTTCTGTTCTTAGAACCTAAAAGTGACCGGATTTGTTTTTTCTGTCAGGATCCAGTACTGCAGCCAAGAGATTGTCATTATCAGGGAAGACCTGGTCAACAAGATGTGCAGGAACTGCGTCCGGTTGCCCAGTAACAATCTTGACATTCCAAACCATGTGAGTTTCAGCTTCTCTGAACAAACCTTCGTACTGAGGGAAATTCCTCTCAGTATTATTAGTTGTTGTCAGAGGTTTTAGTTTTAGTTTTACGTAGTCTTTTCAGTTTTTGGCATAAATTCAAAGTACTCCTTAATAGGCGTGGGACGATATGAAGATTGTAGTGTCTGTATCCAAAGAGACCCCCCTCCCCCAACTCAACGTCATTTTTCTGCAGTCCAAATATGGTCACTTCCACTCACTGGTCGCAAAAAAAAACAAAAGCTCTCGCTCGCCTTTGAATGGAACTGACAATGCTGTATAAATACTTTAAAATCAGGCTCTTTTCTTCACTCCTCTAACATGGTAGCGAGCTAGACAGCTTTTTCAAGTCACTTGTGACGATATTCCTGATAATAGAAGTTCACCACGATCATTTTATTGTGAGTGATTTTTATTGCGATCCGCAATACAATCCTATATTGTCCCATCCCTACTCCTTAAAAAATGACTTTTGCTGAAAAGATGTTGGTAAACTACTCGGCCTTGGTCCTAACCCTCCTCTTCTTCTTCCCAGTTTGTTAAGACCATCTTATCCCAGGGTCACTTGACTCCACTGCCTCTGTATGTCAGTCCCGTATTCTGGGCGTACGACTACTCCCTGCGTGTCTACCCAGTCCCTGATGTCATCGTCTTTGCAGACAAATACGACCCATTCAGCATTAAAAACACAGACTGCCTCTGTGTCAACCCGGTAAGAAACAGAAGCCTATGTGAGGGCTCTAAAAATGTTTCTTTGAAAGAATATGATAAGCAATTGTTTAAATGTATATCATTGTCTTGTCTCAATATGCACTCATGTTGTATTTGTCAATAATTTATTTCTACAGGGCTCATTCCCAAAAAGTGGCTTCACATTTAAGGTGTACTACCCATCCAACCGAACTGTTGAGGACAGGTGGGATGTGTTCTTGAGGTTTCACTTTTCTCTCCACGTCATTCAGTACAGACATCTGTAGTTTCAACTATCGTACTAATCAATTGTGTTTTTGTGTTTGCAGCAAACTTCAAGGACTCTAAAGAAAATCATGGATGAAGATGTTGTACATGGTTTATGTATGATACTGTATGCTTAAAATTGATTGATGATTAAATTGCTGTGTTTTTTTATTTTGTATGCATCTGTATCATATATCTGTATGTATGACTGTCATGGATAATAAAGGTTTTATTCATTATACAGAACTGTCTGACATATTTGTGCATGCACAATGATCAGCCCTACTTTGAGCAATCTCTAAAACTGTGTAGTCTACTTTACATCTCTTCAAAGGCAGCCTAGAGTTTTAGGTTTTGAATGAAATTGCACTTATTCAAATATATATATTCTTTTTCCATATTTGCAAGCAATAGACTATTGATGTATACACGGTTGTTTATCAAAGGTGGTTAACAAAGGAAAGACCTTTACTTTGAAAATCCGTTGTCAATGTCGTTCGTAGTTCATTTTTGGGGGAGTCTTTATGGATGACTTGACTGTAAACTTGTTTTATACGAGCTCCGACAACCTGAGAGGCGTTAAAAACCATTTGGTATCAAATAAAAACAGGTGTATTTCCCCCTCTGTTACGGATGTACGGAGGTCTACTTTTATGTTGTACTCCGACCTTATCAAGATGGCGGATTGAGGACGTCGACAACTTCCGGTCGTGCCCCCTGAATGCTTGTGATGACCTCAAACAAATGGCGTAGGATACCGCTTTTTGAAATTTGCAGGAAAAACAAACATTTGAAAACAAGGTAACGACGGGTGCGATTCAACTCCACTCACAACTGTAACTACATGTAGGTTTAGCCTCCACACCAGCGTGACGAATATAATTGTAGAGCATTTCTCACACTGTATCGTTGGAGTTCTTTGTATATTAGAGTTTACCAACGTTCTGGAGCTAACGGCGTCAACCGACGAACAGCTGATAATGTGCGCGCTTTATTGACCAGCTAAGTAGTTTAGGGAACTTCAATCAAATATTTCAGTTAGACTAAGTCTAAGACAAAAGCTAAGCTAACAACAAACATTGATTTAGTAACCTAAATAGTTAAGCTAGCAAAGTAGGTCAACAGTAATTGTGCTAGCTAACGATAGCTGTCGCTAACAAAGTGACTAAAGGTGGACTACAACGTTAAAGGTGAGGATATGTTTGTAGAAACTTTATAACTTACACAGTTATGTGTTCCTTCTCATAAACTAACAGCTGACAAGTCTCTGTGATGATACTTGTATTATTTCCTCATATTTAACGTAAGTGTTTTGAAGAATGTGGGTCGTTTTCTGTTTGTTTTTCTTAGTTTTTTGGAAAGATTAGTTAGCTAGGTTAAATCAATTAACCCTATCAGCACCAACCAAGGTGATTGTCTTTCTCGCTTCTTGCCCTGACAGGAGACAGTAGAGACATGGCAGAGAGACTGGCGGAGATGGAGGAAGATATTGGAGATCTGCCAGCCGGGGAGGATGGCAATGACTCAGACAGAGATGAAGATGAGAGACTGTTTGCTTGGATGGTAAATGACGATATGGATGAGGAAGAACAGGAGGAGGAGGAAGAGGTGGAGGATGAACAGCCCTTGTTGGACACCGAAGGACCTGAATCGTTTGAGTTAGATACCCCAGCTGAGCGCAGTGGTCACATAGCAGTGGTTGACAGAAACATCATGTATGTTTGGGGTGGATATAAGGTAAGACATTTATTAGATGTCCTAAAATCGACTTTCAGTATATTTGTGATTTGTTTCTGCACATTTACTTAAAATACATTCTCCCTGTTACAAGAATGCCCAAAACCACGGATTCTTTGACTTGTACCTGCCGAGAAATGAGATCTGGATTTACAACATGGAGTCTGGAGTATGGTAATACCTGTTGTGTTTAAGTTGCACCTTGATACCATTGTCCTCAGCAAAGTAGACAAATAAAAACACCCGAATGTTCACAGGACGAAGCATGTAGCTGGAGGCAACCTGCACACATCCATGTCAGGCAGCTGTGGGGTGTGTGTTGATGGAGTTCTCTACTTATTTGGAGGTCATCACGCCAGGGGAAACACTAACAGGGTACAGTTACATTAAGCACATTTCTTAACACCCTCACTTGTCTCATATTTATTCTTTAGGACCTTGAAGCAGGTTTACTGTTTGCGATTATATTTCAGAACACCTGTATTTTGTGCTGTGTTTTGCAGATCTATCGCCTGCCCCTTAGAGCGCCCAGCCTTGTTTGGGAGGAAATGAGGGATCTTAAAGGACTTCCTCCATCCTGCAAGGACAAGCTTGGGTGCTGGGTTCAGAAAAATAGGTGAGGGATGACTATGCTTTTTCTTCTGGATTTTGACGTAAACATTAATGTTAAACATCATGCACACTTCAGAACCATAGACTGTATGTGCAGAACATGTTAATGTGGCTATTAAGTGTAAGCCATGGGATCACATTAACCATAATATAATTGTTTAATACGAAATAATAAATGCACAAGAGAAGTCACCGACTGTTAATCTTGGGAGAGATATTTAAAGGGAGTTTTGTCTGATATTGTTTCCACAGACTTATATTCTTTGGGGGCTACGGCTATGCTGTACAAGGGCTTCATCAAGGGACTTTTGAATATGATGAATCGTCTTCACTTGTGGTCTGTAAACAAACAAAAAAAACTTCACGTGACAAACACTGACTGACTTACATATTTTCGTCTGTGTTTATTTGTAAACTGTGTTAGTTTAAATAAAGGTATTTCATCGCAAGTTAGACAAAAAAAGCTGGAGTGTCTATTTCCTGTTGAGACATTTGATGATGTATTTTTGTTTGCTGCTGCAGTGGGACAGCCCAGGACGAGGTTGGAACAACCACATCCACGTACTGGACCTGGAGACATCTACATGGAGCCAGCCCAACACCAGGGTAAACACATGCACGACACAATTTCACCTCGCACACACTCTCAAGTGAAAAAGATATTTGACATGATCTATTCTCTCTCTGGTGTAGGGAAACGCCCCATCACCCAGAGCTGCTCATGCTTGTGCTACAGTTGGTAACAGAGGCTATGTGTTTGGGGGACGATACAAGGTAAGGAAATTAAAACAAATTCAAGATGTGGGTGTCTTAAACCTTGTTGTGAATTATTTTCATATGAATAATGATTAATCCATCTCTTTCTCCTTTGGTCCACAGAACTACAGACTAAATGACCTGTACTACATTGACCTGGACACATGGGAGTGGCATGAAATGTAAGTGGTGGTCGTTTCTTTCATGTAGGTCCAACCATCCAACCACAGAATAATCTGCGAAGACAATAGTTATAAATCGCTTAATATCAGGTCAACCTTTGCAAATCTAATGTGCCTCAGAAGTTATACATCTTTCTTCCACCCTTTCCATTCTCTCTAATGTGCCTTCTCTGACCCTGTTGTAGGAGCGTTCCCCAGCAGGGTCCTGTGGGCCGGTCTTGGCACTCCTTCACTCCTGTGTCACCAGACCACATCTTCTTATTCGGAGGATTCACCACAGACAGAGAGACACTGAGTGAGCCTGACATTTATTCTGTAGTAACAAATAATTCCTCGCTGCCTCAAAATGATCGCTTGTCTAACAGTTATCTGTTTTTCAGGTGATGCTTGGCTGTACTATGTGAGCAAAAATGAATGGAAGCCTTTTAAACACAGTCACACGGAGAGCCCGAGGTAATCCTCGCATCTTAATCTACAAGCAAACGAACACTAGTGCTCACATTAAGTTTTGGGTTTGTTGAGGGAACGTATTGTATTTGGACAATTCTTGACATTGTGCTGTGTGTATTTCAGACTGTGGCACACAGCAAGCTCTGGTCCTGATGGAGAGGTGTTTGTGTTTGGAGGATGTGCCAACAACCTGTTGTCTCATCACAGAGCTGTAAGTCATATGTTAATAAAACATGCATTAAATGTTTTCTACTGAATTGAACTAAACCTTTTTTTTTTACTCGACAGGCTCACAGCAACGAGTTACTGGTTTTCAACGTTCAGCCCAAATCACTAGTTCGGTGAGTGTGAATTTATTTTACACCTAAAGCTGAGATTGTCTCCTTTCTTTATTATTTAGTTCTCGTATTTTCCTTTTCCCCACTCGCCAGTTTCTGTATGGAGGCCGTTCTGCAGCACAGGGAGCGTTTGTCGAGTTACTGGGACTGCTTGCCGAAACACCTCCTGCACAGCCTCAAACAGAGAATGGCGCGCGTCAACACACTGGGCTCCTAGGCTTAGAGGAAGCCGTCAACCTTGTTCAGAGGATTACAGGAGAATGTGTATGTATGGATGATAAGAGTTTTGCTCTCAAAGCTGGTAGTCCTATTGAAGCATTAGTTTAATGTGTGTGGACACGTATAATAATTCTCTGAGCAATAGTGAACAGCTGTGGAGCTGTTGGAAATGGGACCTGACAGAAAGAGAGCAGAGGTCCTGCACTACTTTTGAGTTAGTTTATGTTCTGATTTTAAGCAGGTCTTCTTTCATTTCTCCATCTGAAAAGCTTAAATATGATATTGTAGTTATTTCTGTGTTCTAAGACAAATGGATTGCTACTTCTGTACTGGATACAACAACTTGATAACTGCAAGTTCAGGGAAGCTGTGACAGTGCTTCTCTGTTTACGATTCTGGGGAGTTGTTTTAAAAAGGTACAGTATGTCGCAGTTGGGGGGGGGGGGATCTTTTGGGAAAATATATATATGTATATTACAGCACATCCTGTAGGTATGACCAAGAGTCAGGGAAACAGTTCTAGTCCTTTAAAACAAACATGCCAGTCACTTGTTGGAATTGTGGTTTTTAATTGGTTTTCCTCAAAAATGTATACAACTTAAAATATGAGTCTGTCTTAACACTAAACACAGTGGTGCAAGGCTGAAACAGGTTTGCTTTAACAATGCAGATTTTTTTTTTAGGGAGCCTGTTGCTTCAATGATTGATATAACTTACGTTTGGCATGATCTTTGATGCAGATGTTCACTAAATCTTGAATAGTATAAGCTCTCGCAGACCTAAAACTAGTGCTTTGTTACTCAAGACTATCTCCTCTGAAGCCACAGAAATGTTAATTTTTATTTATATAAAAATGTATTTATATATTTGTGAGGAAATGTGTGAGTTCTTTATTCTGAAAGAGGCCTTTAAAGCCTTTTTAGATTGTCGTGAGTGGTTCCGGTAGCATTTCAATTTTGTTTAATCAATAACTTAAATATGTTGTGTATTGGATGTTGAGCCATTTTGCACTGAAATGCCTAATGTCAGTAGGGCTTTGTTTGTATTTGCCTGGTTTGCACAATGTTCCCTTTGGTGTTTTTTATTGTAGAATACAATGCATAATTTTCATTCGTACTCGAAGAATAAACACATGCCATTAGTTGTGTTTTGTTGGTCAACAAATACAATCAATATCTAAGCTGAAATGATCAGCTCTTGAAATCTAGATGAAGTCGGCAGAGTCCCACAGTTCTGTGTTCACTCGTCTTATTTCTTCTTGACAGCCAGCAGGTTTGGAGCAGACACTTTAACTTTGCCTGGGATATTTCTGGATAGATCAGTATCCTGCAACACAGGATGATATCGGAGGGGATACAGTTTAATTGTTATATATGTCATAGTATAGCATGTCGAAAAAAGTCATAAAAACAGTATAATATGCCATCAAAGAAGCTATATTATAAGATGTCACAAAAAGTATAGTCTGCTATAAAATAAAGATTGTACTATAGCATGTCATTAAACAATTATAGTATAGTACTGTATGTCAGAAATTGGCAAAAAAAGTTCCAGTTCGCTTCTTCACCTTGACACTGCGGAACAGATCTTTCTCTCTGGTTGAGGCATCTCTGGCTTTCATGAAGCTGAAAACTGCAGTGCGTGCAGCTGGTACAAACAAAGAATAACAATCATTTTTTAAAGCATTCAGCAAAGGCTTTCTGAATATTAGAATGGATCACTATTCTTACCTTTTCCTTTCTTCTGAGAACCTGGTGTCAATTTCACCTTGTGCCTGGTTACAAAAAAAACAAAAAAAAAACTTATTCAGCCACCGCCAGCTTCCCTTTGTCTCTTAAACACCACCAGATTAATTGCACATACTTGTAGTTGGAAAGGGCAGTGTATGGAGCACAGACTGGCACAGCAAACAACAGCACGTCTTCAGGATGAGGCTGGCCCGACAGAGAGGTGAGCAGATCCTCTGCTTCCTGGGGCGGCACACAGGAAAACTAAAGTTAAACTAATGCAGTACAGTGTTGCGTTAAAGGGGCAGCGTGTAGCATTGTGCGGGATCTATTCGCAGGAATCAAATATAATATTCATAAATAGGTTTTCATCATAATCACCTGAAACTAAGAACTGTTGTGTTTTTGTTAGCTTAGAATGAGCACTTCATATCTACATAGGGGGCGTGGCTTCACAGATTCTCCCGTGTTGCACCACTCTGGAAAGAGCCTTTCAAGTTCTCAAATGTGAGACTGCGGTAACGTGAGCCGGAGTATTGAAACCGTGGTTCTGCCAGCAGCCATCTGACTTTGCATTCTGTGGCTCACGCTACCGCAGGCTTGGGAAGGGAGGAGTGAGCGGAGGGGTAACCACACCACCAAATCCTGCACACTGTCCCTTAACAAACACTCATTTATCCCCCAAATGTTCTTTGAATTATTAAAATATTCCACATATATCGTAGAGGGAATATTGGTTATTTTCTATTAACTATAAGAAGTATTTATTTATTCAAGTTTACATTAAGAACCCACCTCTGCACCGGGGTTGTCCGGGTCCACATCATCTTCCTGAAGGACAGAACACCATTCAAAAGGGATTACAAAACATATACGATACAACGGTAACTTTGTTAACATCACCACACATACAGTACATTTCAGACAACACTGGTATTGGAGCTTCATTGTGTCACGTACCTTGTCGTCCTGTTCAGCAGGAGCTCCCTCCTCTCCAGGCTGTCTCTCCTCATCACCCTCGCCTGCTACGGTCTGCTCTGTTTGTTTTGCTGCAATCTCCTCATTACGAGGTTTCTGGGGTGGTTTCTGAGGGGCTGGTTTCCTGACGGGTTCGACTTTCCCCTTCCCCTTCTTTCCTTTCTTCCCCTTATCCTTCTCTTCCTTAGTGGAACCAGCTGACTACGGAAGAAAAGCGTTTACACCGTTATTCATGGTGTCAGCCTCAACGACTGTGCACATGACAACTGTGTCGACCCGAGTAGCAGTTACTACTAAAAATGTTACAGCTGCTCGTGATGGCAGTGTCACTGGACAGAACATAGTAATGACTGCTTAGAGAGTCGTTTTTTTTATTCATCCTCACCCCGAGCAGCTGCATCATCAGCTCCCTGTCCTCTTCATCCTGGTCTTTGTACTTCTCTTTGATCTTCTTTAACTTGTTCTGCGGTGACAACAAGGGAAGATATAAGCACAAAAACAACACAGATTGAAGTATAGGATCATTTAAGGTTCAAGATTGATCCTTCAAATAGACTCACTATGACATGTAACACAATAGGTGAGGTATTGTTAAAATAACTGACACTGTATCCATCCATTTCGTGAGTGGTGATAAAACAAATTACAGCCTTCAATTCGCTGCAGATTATGAAAAGAAAGATATGTTCCTACTCGTGCTTTTAATAATTATACTGGTGTTGTTTGTCTCCTAATCTCATGTACATTTACTCTGGTTTTATTAGTTTTTTAGTGTATGTTTCAGTTTGGGAATTTATTGTTCTCTTCTAAGTTGTATCTCCCCGGGAAAGATTTGCAAATTCATACTTGTACTGCTGAAGTTGTATGACTTTGTTTTCCATTTCAACCTAAGAACAGAACATCTTATCTTATCAAACTCCTCTCTTACCTTTTGACCTCTCTTCGGTTGCGGCTGGGAGGGACATCCTCCACCTTTGGATCCCTGATCGACTGCTGATCCAGCGGACGCAGTCTCAGTCTTCCCCTCAGTCTTCCCCTCAGTCTTCCCCTCAGTCTTCCCCTCAGTCTTCCCCTCAGTCTTCCCCTCAGTCTTCCCCTCAGTCTTCCCCTCAGTCTTCTCCTCAGTCTTCCCCTCAGTCTTCCCCTCAGTCTTCCCCTCAGTCTTCCCCTCAGTCTTCTCCTCAGTGTCGCAACCTTCCGGTTTCTGCTTCTTCTTCTTCTCTTCTCTAGTGGGAAAGAAGAAAAAAAACCTGACTGTATCAATGACTGGACGATTAGAAAGTTATTGATGAAATAAAGTCGACATAACGCCCGTTACGGTTTTTTTTCTTAAACCAACCAAATGTCTCAACACTACCTGTTGCTGAAAGCCTCTCAGGTTTATGGTAGGAGCTTAACAGGAAGATGTACATGTTGAATATAAGTTAATGTATTTAATTACCTTCTTTGCTTGGCAGTCATGTGTTTCCTCCCCTGTGCGTCTACCTCAACCTGAAGAGAAATGAATGAATCAACATGAGTACGACGTGTTGTGCCTTTATGATATCACCGAGATGAAACTGTTGTAATGTACACTACCGCTAAAATGTTTGGGGTCTGAGAGGACTACTCTTTATTTTGTAATTGTATGTCATGCTTTTAGGTTGTAGACGGTCTTCTTAACAAATGGATGTTATTTTGTATGAAGGGTTTGCAAAAATAAAATCATGTTTCGTTCATGGGGAACAAAACGCTGAACAATTTTCAACCCGACTGACAATTGAAAGGGCAGAAAGAGACGAAGATCCCTCTGAGCAACAGATGACTAAGAAGAGAAGAAATCACCAGAGATTTGAAAAGGAAACGGGAAGCTCAACATTAAAATGTGTGCAGATTTAACAGGTTCCTGTTTCAGTGTCAAGTGCACAACTATGCCTATAACAAGCTGGAATTAACAGACGTGTTGCTTAAAGTAAAGCTGTTTACAGAAATACAAGGTTAGTCCAGGGTTTTACCTGAGTGCTCCGTTCCTTTTTGAAACCAGGGTTGTGAGTATTCCTAGAAATCAGGAGAGACACTTTGATTAAGTACCATTCATTGTTCTGTGCAATGATTGAACCATTAGGTTTGTAGAAAGGTGGGCAAGACCTTCTTATTACAGTGTCAGCATCGTAATGGTAATATTACCTGCTGGGCTGTAAATGAGACAGGGAGATGGTTGTATCCGGAAAGCTGAATTCTTCACTCTCCTCATTCTTTATCTCCGTTTCCTCCTCGCTGTCTTCCTCTCCACTCTTCTCTGCCTCCAGGTTGTCCTCCTCAGGAACAGCGGCCAGTTCTCCATTCACACCATCATTCCCCCCAACCACCTTCTTGATCATCTTTTCCACCCCTCCATCTCCTATCGCTCTTTCCTCACCCTGATCTTCATTACTGCTGTCATCACCTGCAAAGCAACAGAGTTAGCTACAACACCCGATTGTAGTCGTTGCATACACAGTAAATCCAGTCATTCATTTTGTGTCTTGCTACCCATCAGCTCTTCTTCCTCCACGAACAGCTCGGCAGCTCTAGATGTGGCGTCCTGCATGTCCTCCTCTACAGTCTTCACTTTTCTCTCCCCGCGGTGCCGAAACACACTTTGCTCATCGACCTGCACAGAGACGAGCGTGAAACCTAATTGTTTGAAGACAAAGAATTAAACATGCACTCACAGCTCACGATGGTATTTACCTTGAAGAGAAATCCGAAGCCCATAATCAAGTAAGAGGGGGGCAGAAAATTCTTCTTTCCTGGAGAGAAATACGTCAAATGTTAGGTCCTCTGTTAGATGCCATCATTTGCAGTTACACTTCTCAGATGTTGCTCTGGTGCCTTAGAAAATGTATACACCTTAAATGTTAGTGTGTCATACCTCTGATCATGAAACTTCCAGTGGTCAGGTACTCTCCAGTGGGAGCCGTCTTAGAGACCTGAACACATGAGAGATATCACGCTAATTAATGATAAATAATGCCGATATTTCTACTATATCAATGTCATGATTTAAGCATTTTACTGCCTGTAGTTTTTCATTTCCCTGATATCTGAAATATATATATATATATATATATATATATATATATAATATAAAAACATGAAGAGCTGGCAAATTCAGTTGCCTGATATTGATGACTTACCTGATGATGATGAACCCACCAAGCGCTGGTGATGATCTTGGCATCCCAAGCAGCACTGTAGCACACAGACATGGTGCCAGCTTCTGTCAGGGTACGAGGAGCGATGGGGACACCTGCAACAGGAAGATAGAGGGGCAGAGACAAAGTGGAACAAGTAAAAAATCAAGTATGTTCACAAAACATCAGGTGAAATAGTGGCTGGAAATGCGCAGGTTTACCTGAGGGGTTTTTGATGACACAGCTAGTCGCTCCATGGAGGTCAGCATGAACATAAATATCACCTGACAGAGGACAGGCACAAATGAGGGAATAAACCAGATCCATTTTGAAGCAACTTACTTTTTAAAAGGTCGGAGTATATAAGTTCATTCAATACCTGCACGGAGGTAGCGTTTGACAATTATCTCGTTCTGCTGCTGATCCCTTCCTGCGATGATGAGATAATTCTCTGAGCTGATGAACCACAAAAACTTCTCAAACCTGCCAAAAGAGGAAAAAAGAACGAGGTTGAGAGGATGAAAGGCTCCACTGCAAGTCATGTAAATATAAAAAAATACTGTATCCGAGTCCGACTATGTATTCGGCACATAATGGTTATGTGTTACTTACCAGTAGACTTTCCTGGCCTTCTGAATGGTGGTCACAGTCTGCACCTCTTTCAGTGTTTGCTGTGTTTTTTTCTCTGCAGATTTCATAGCCTTGAATGACATGAAAGTAGAAGAACATTGAACATTTAACAGTATACAGTACAGTGGTCATAAACAATGATCCTTAGAAACACAAATACTTGCTTTGATCTGAACGATGTTCCTTGCTGATCATACAATTATTTGTCACCATAACTTTTAAACTGCAATAAAACAGCTTTCTTACCTTGCCTACTGCTTCAATAGTTTTATGTTCTTTCTTTTCAGCACTGCGTTTGAAGTCATAGTACCTAAAAATCACAGTGACAGGGTCCATCAGCTGTAAAAACACCACCACATAATGCTTAATTCTATGTCTAAAGGAATACATGTAAACCTACTTTTTGGCATTGGCATAAGCTGAGAGGCCAATATCCACATCTACTAACGTGGGCTTGTTCCTTTGCAACTTCTTGTTCTGCCCTTTGTCTTTATTTTTGTTTTTTTTCCCTTTCTCCTCCACCACATATTTTTTCTCTTCCTCTTCCTGGTCTTCCTCAGAAATATATGGATTTCTAGAAGGAAAAAGATATGCATGAGCCAAATGGTGTTACAATAATCAGAGCGGTCTGTGGGACTCGAGTTTCTGTATCAGAAGTTCTCACTTTAAAAGCATGGTGATATGGTTGGTCTGCAGCTTCAGGTCCTTGATGGCACAGGCCACCGGGTCACCGGCATCTTGCGCCTCTTTGACGATAATGCCGATCTCAGTCCAGTCCACCTGATTCGCCAGTGCACTGCGCACCACCTGCAGCGCCCGCTCTACCACAGGCAGGTTCATCTCCACCAGTTCACCCTTTATTCTGTCCACCTCCTGCAATACACAAGACCAGATTTCATACATTTCAGTGATTTTGAGATGAAACGACATTAATTAATTAAACGACTTAAACGACATTAATGTTTCACAAATACAAATAGGAAAGTAGGAGCCATTCTGTGCAGCATTTACAGCAGACACACCTAAAACTTGGCAGTAATACTGACCTGGGTTTGGTGCAAGGCCTCCAATCTCTGCTCGTGGTCCTTCTTAACATTGTCCAACTTCTTCAGAGCCTGTTTCTCCTGCTGCAAGGCCTTCATGTCAATCCTCTGACTCTCCATCTTAGAATAGAACTCATCCACTGCCTGAGTGAGAGGATCACATTGGATTCATATAACATTCATGGCAGAAGTATGAATTCACATTGTAAAGAAGAAAGGATCAAATAAATAATAAATAAGCAGTCTTGCTAATGTTTACCTTATCAAAAGTATCAAACTCCAAATACGGGCTCTTTGCATGCTGGGCAAAGAGGAATGGGTGGAATTCATCATATCTGAAAGTAGATATCATTGACGTATATTAATTAACAATATTGTGAAAATAAAAGAATGCTGGAAAAACTTGGGTATAGTCACAAATAGAGTGTTAAACAAAACAGGACATACGTGAGCAGTTCTTCACTGGGTTTGCCAGGAGTTAAGCTTGGTTTCTTGTCACTCTTTTGAATGATGTAGCCCTTGAATTAAACAGAGCAGAGACTTTGTGAGTATAACAATCTATTACAGGATCCTCAAAGTAAAGACCGCTAATGAAAGATCCCGTACTTTGCCACTGAAGTTTTCTGTTTTTTCCATATACGTTTCTGCAATCTGCAGGGCTTCCAGGATTTTAGGTGCAACTGAAAAAGCAGTCAGAACAAATACTGTATTTACAGAAAACCATTACAAATAAAAAAATCTAATAGTAAAATAGAACCACTACATAAACCAGTAGCCCTTATTTCTCTACGATACCTGCATCAACTTGAGTGTCAACTTTGACAGAGCCCGGCAGTCCCGCCTCTATCAAACTGTGTTCTATCAGAGTGGCTCCATAGGCTGGAGGGGTGTTTGGAAAAGACACAAAACAAAGTTCAGTTTGTTCATTTTAGGACATTTAACCTCAAGTTTGTCTGTTTCAGGGCAACATTTCAGAACTGTTGCCTTGCTACTTACGAAGGTGAGGGTTCAGGACCTTTTTAACTTGCTCTCCACTTGTTGCTTTGCTGAGGATTTCAGTAAGTCTGCATGAAAAGTGATAGAATAACATTATGTTTCACTGGTAAATAAATAGTAATAAATGTTTATTGAATTCTGATGGAAGTTCATCTAGTCCACAAACTCGACAAGTACATATAAAGATGTAGTTACCGGTCTAAACTGAAGAGAGGTTCAGGGGGTCGGGCGCTCTCCACAGGGTACCGCTCTCTTACAGCAATCTTAACATCTTCTGCCTCTGCCTCTGCCTCTGCTGTACGAAACCTCAGCAGGTTCAGGATGGTGTACTCATGGTCTGTGAGAATGATGTTACCCTGAAGATGCAAATACACACACACACACACACACACACACACACACACACACACACACACACATACATTAATGTCATGGTTCTGGATCCAGGCTGAGAAGATCAGAAGTTTGATATCTGCATCTCAATGTTCTCTCACCCTGTCATACAGTTCAATAATCAAGTGGTAGGCAGCCTCATCTGAGCCAAACTGGAGGTCAACAATCCTGTCAATCCCAAGCTGCTTAACCTGGGTCAACCGCCGTGACCTCAGGTGCTTTCGACACTACGGAGAAAGTTCAGTTTTATTACAACGAATACATAAATAAGCAAATACAGGAAAATCACAATAACAGGAACCGTGTACTGATATTGACATATCAAATCTGTTTAGGGATAGGAAAAAAAACATTTGTCTGGTTGATGTCAAGGAAACAATGGTTTGAATGGAATTCTCAGTGAAATCTCACTTGAATCATACATCTAAATATCATAAAAGCCTACAATATGGTGAAACATTAAACAGTAATGATTTTTGGTTGGTCAGTCTTTTTCAATGAACAAGATGTTCTTACTTTCATTGCAAAGCCCGAAGGCATCATGTTCTTGGGCCATTCAAAGTCTGTGGAGTGAATCCGAGTCCCAGACTCAATCAGGATAATAGCTTTGCAGTCAGGCCTGGGACAAAGATACGACACCGAGTTATACATAATGCCTGAAAGTGGTGGAATATACCTATACAAGTAAAGCATAAGTATATTTATTGAGTTCTGTTCTTGAGTACAATTTTGAACACATGATACTTCACCTCCACCACATTTCTCAGAAAGGTACTGTACTTTTTACATCACATTTGTGACACATCAGTTTACAAAGTATATGGTGAGCTAATGAATAACAGTGATTGCATAATTCCAACTTGTATTTTGAGAACGTTACTTGAATCCTATTGTGAAAACACTTCAATACTTAAAATGAATTAAAAACTTGAATGCAGCTTTCTTATGTTTAATAAATAAATCTTTATATCGTGGTATTGCTGCTTTACTGAAGAGCTTTATGACATGGGACACACCATTACACTTAAACTTGTGGAGAAGGTTTTTTTAAAACTGTGCTTACTTTTGCAGACGGATGAGATACGTCTTGTTGTCGATGTCATACACGTTGTTCACTCTCATGCCAATGTAGCTGTGAAAGAACAAATGCATGATCAACATCTGTGGACACATTAACATGAACGCTTGTTAGCTTAGCCACTCGGCTGAGATTCACAACACGTATCACCTACTTAGCATTGATCTCGGCAATAACTGCCCTGATATCCAGGGTGGTGAATCTTGTTTTCATGGTGACCGAAAGGCTGACCACAATTAGAAACACTGAGAAAATTCACATTTCTAGCAGCTACACCAGCTAGGAAAACATGCAGGGAACTACTGCACATGCGCACATATGACGAGTTTTTACGGAAGCCGGCGTGGAGCAAAAAACCAGCAAGTCTACGCCTTTGCCACACACCAGACATGAGCGAATAGGATGAATTGATTGTGTGTGGGATACACTGGTGCTTGGTAACTTCTATGCTATGACCTGAATGCAGTGGACCGGTGGTGCTCTTGCAGGGACTGTTTCTAGATATTTGTATGCTCATGGTAGGCTCTTTAGCATTTAAAGTGCATTAATGATGCACTACTCAAGCTGGCTTATTGGCGTAAAAAACAGGGCAAGCCTTCGAAATGCATGCAAAACACCACCTAACATGGATCGGAACAAAAGGGGGACGTTGAATGTGGACATGCAGAACAACAATCCGCAGCCCAATGGAAAGACATCCGACCTAACGGTCATGACCCACCTCTGGAAAAAAGGTAAGGGGGAAGGGGGAAAAAACAACGTCGCGTCAAATATCTGGGCCTGCAGCGAATAAAAGGCTCGACTGACATTTTTTTTTAAACATGGTTGTTGCTTTTAAACTCCATTGTTTTCCGCGGTTGGACGGGAGAGAGTGAAACACTCAAACGGGAGTTTCCCGTTTCCTCCTCAGGTCAGAGAGGAGGGCGAAGGCGTGCTCCGTTACCAAGGCGACGGTCAGCTAACAGGGCTATGCTAGCGGGGCTAGGCTAACACCCGTGTAGCCAGTTTCCGTGTCCCTTTGACACTCCGATGCGCAAAAAAAACCGTACATTTAAAAACCGTTGACATGTCCTGTCCGGATACGCTATGTTATGAGTGATCGAGGTGCATGCGGCGGCTAAGACACAAAGGAATGCATTGTAAGTTGTGACCTAACGGCTGTAGTAGCGTGATGATGACAGGTCTGACACACGACGGTCGTCCATCGTGGAGGTTTCTCTTCAAAGATTTCTCTCTTATGTTTGTTAGCTGTTTAATCTTTGGAGGAGCTAGCTGGGACTTTATTGTGTCTCTTAAGCAACTAACTGAGAACATATATACGTGGTTTTGACATGACGTTATAGCCTTTGTAATCATATTTTATATTTGTTTTACGCCTAGTTTTTTTTTTTTTTGTGAAACTAATATTTTGGCTAGTTGTTCCCGAAAATGGTGAACATTAACAACAATATGTCAGCCACTAGCTCAATTGCATTGGCAGCGTGGAGTTCTGGCAGTGGAACATTATTTTAATTGTGTATTCATGCTTAACTTTCCCTTTTATCAGTCATTTTAGCTTTGTTTTTTTAATTATTTTTGCAGGCTACAAAACAATCAAGAAAATTGGGGAAGGCACATTTTCAGAGGTGTTGAAAACTCAGAGCCTGAAAGATGGGAAGTTCTACGCATGTAAAACCATGAAGCAGACAATTAACAGGTATGTATACTGCAACAACAGGACAACATGTCCTGTACATAGGCGATCATTGGGGCATTTTACCATACTCTATTGTAACATGAGTCAGAAGATTGACACCCCCTATGCCTTAAGTGTCCTATTTCACTTTCAACTTGTAGTGATGAGGTAACAATAGATGTCTCTGGTTGAAATTTGAGTTGTCAGTGCACTGGTTTTCAGCATTAACTTTGCAATTTAAATATGCCATTTTTCTTGTGTAAATTGTCACATTGTCCATTTACAGTGCAGCAGTTATTTTTCTTTACAATTAACAATGCTGCATGTTTACACCTGTCAAATTTAAAAGCGCAAATGTCATCTGTTCTCGGTCATCAAGTCTGGAGCAGGCCAACAATCTGCGGGAAGTCCAGGCAATGAAGAGGCTGAGCCCACATGCAAATATCATCGAGCTACATGAACTGATTTTGTGAGTACTAGAGTGTTGTCTATCATAAAGTTATTGTATTGCCTCAACCTAGTTTCATGTGGCGCGGCATATTAATCTAACACAATGTTTCAGTGACAAAGAAACTGGAACTGTGTCTTTGATTTGTGAGCTGATGGAGATGAACATCTATGAGTTCATACAAGGTAAGTCTGCAAGTATTAACAAGTGCAATACATAATTATAAGGATGAACGGGAACATGAAGATGAAGAGGTTCTGTAAACTGTTGGGTAAATTATTGGCTTATATCGCTTATTCATCCGTTACAGGAAGACAAACACCACTGCCTGATAATACAATAAAGAACTACATGTACCAGCTTTGCAAGTCACTTGAACATATGCACAGGTAGTTATGAAAAAAACTTCAGTTCACCTTCAACAGTAAACAAAAACACAACATTAACTCTTTTTTTTCTTTTTACAGCTGTGGGATTTTTCACAGAGATGTGAAGCCAGAAAACATTCTCATCAAAGTGAGATGCATCATTATCACAATGTGCTTTAACAGTGGTAAAAAATATATATTTCATACATGTTTAAAAAAATGAATTTGTACAAATTGCAGCAAAACGGTCTGAAGCTTGGCGACTTCGGCTCATGTCGGAGCGTGTACTCCAAGCCTCCGCATACAGAGTACATCTCCACACGCTGGTACAGAGCCCCAGAGTGCCTCCTCACTGATGGCTACTATGGCTTAAAGATGGACATGTGGAGTGCTGGCTGTGTCTTCTTTGAGATCATGAGGTACGTCTGAAAGGGAAGGGCACAACATCTCATCTGTAATACCCATAGAACAACCGTTCATGAGTTAATGAGACAGGATAGGAATACTCTTATGAGGTTATACACATTCATCTCACAGAGTGGTCCTACAATGTTACTAATGTCTGCGTATAGTTTTCCTTCGCTCTATTTGATCGATCCTGTCTGCCACCAGAGGCATAAACAAATGTCAAACAAATGCTATGTAAATAGCTTTGTTGTGGCAGTCAGATACTTGTATGTTTCAGTTTGAGTCCCCTCTTCCCGGGAACCAATGAGTTGGACCAGGTTGCCAAGATCCATGACGTGTTGGGGACACCAGATCAAAGTATCCTCCAAAAGTTAAAGCAGTAGGTGTTCCTCCTAAAAATGTGTTGTTTGAAGCGTCTTTGTGACAGAAATTGTGAATATAATTCTTTATGTGCTTAGAAAACAAAGCCTTCTCTTGGTTTCTTGTTTGTCTGGCAGGTCTAGAGCGATACAATTCAACTTCCCCCCTAAAAAAGGCAGCGGTATCTCCCGGTTAGTCCCTCGCTGCCCGGCTCCAGCTCTGTCACTCCTCTATCAGATGCTCGCCTATGACCCCGATGAACGCATTACTGCAGAAACAGCTCTGCGGCACACGTACTTTAGGGAAATCAGGTAAACCAAAATCAATGAATCACCTTGCAACTTATTAAATAACATTTAGACGATACAATTGCCAGGTTTGCTGGTTAGACACACTGGAGACAAAGAGCTTTCATTTTAAATACTCATATCCTGTCATTCGTAATAGAAATCTTGCTTGCTTTCTTCTCAGGCTGGCAGAGAAGAAAGCCGAGACTTTTCAAAGAGTATCTGGGACTATGGATGGACTAGAGAGTGGCGGGAAGCACAACTCCTTAGACCACATCTGGCGCCCAGCCAGACTCGGCAAACAGCTGAGGGGAAGACACACAAGGCAAACCCCTTTAATAAGCGTAAGTCAACGTTCATGTCAGCTGGAGTGAAATGTCCAAAGTCCCATGAGTCCAAATGAATATGAATACAACTGGTACCATCCAATACTTCCTCCCTCTCCAGCACAACATGAAACACGTAGCGGAGCCCCTAATCCGACGGAACGTGCCTCATATTCCTACAGAGCTACCCAAGATCAACATGGTTGTGCCTGGACCTCAGATCTCCTTCCCGGTCTCCAGTATGCCCGCATTTACCGTCACCCACCGAGGCACTCTGCCAACCATCACGTCGAAAAAGTGCCAGTCGCGTTTGGCAAAGGTAAACACAGGAGTGCTACACAGACGTCAGACTTTTAACATTTGAATCAGCCGACAAGTTTGTCTTGCATATCAGATGTTTTAAAAATGCAAGAGGTACGTCACATTAATATAACTAAACAAGTGCCTTCATAGTGCTTTCTTTAAGGGCTTTGATTTGGCATTTTCTTCTCTTCACAGCCCCGGGATGAGTCCCACCGTGCAGCTTTGAAGACTTTCTACATTCCACCTCTGGATAGGAAACATGGAGGCTACTGAGAATCAAAAACACTTCCATTTTATTATTAAAAATGTCCTCTAAAAACTGGATAGACCTTTATTGTTAAACAAATTGTCGAGAGGAAAATGTTTGGACGGGCCGGACGTTGAAATCTATGAAGCAACACAAACATGATGAAAAATGCAACAAAGACCGCCATGCCTGTCATATTACCAGATATCACACTGTTCAACCCTCACTGCAATGGTACGATTCAATGTAATATCTACATAAACAAACAGTCTGTAATATAACGCTGGATTGAGAGTGTGTAGTCAGGTGTTACATGTTTACAACGGTTAAGAAATGTACTTCAATCTGAGCCCATTACACAAGCTAAGCAATAACATATGACACGTGGAAAGACATTTACCATTGTGCGTGTCTTTTTTTTATGGTTTCTGAATGAAATGGAACATATTTGATGAGTAACATGGTCAACTTCCTGGACAACAGGGTGCCTTTAAAAAGTTGTCACAACCCTTGGACTTGTTCTGGTTGTCTGGTCTTATTTGACAACTTTGAATCACAAATAAATTAACTAAATCACAACAGAACAAATGTCAACAAACTGAACGACACCAGGTTTTTTAAATAAATATTAAGTGGATTCGAAGTTGTAGAGCAATAAACATGATAAACCAAGGGTGGGGTTGAATACTTTTCCTAGGCACTGTTTACTGGTGATAGTCTCTTTCCAAATGCTGCGAATGAACTCCTCGGGACAAAGCGTTCTGAGCCACAACATTGCCTTTGGAGAAGTAATTTAAAGGCATATTGAACTGTAATGTAAATAAACAGCAAAACAGATTTGGAACAGTCAAGGAAAAATAACTTTACTTTTAGATGAAGTATGTATGTGATCTGTATTTTATATGGCCTTAAGAAAGTCCTAAAAAAAAAAAAAGAAAGTTGTTTAGAATGTAGCTCAGCCAGTTATTCCCATTGAAGCACCTTCTAATCCAGATAATCCAGAGTTGAGAGCTCAGTGAAGTGGACTGACTCTGCCTGCACTTTATTATGTTGGTTATTGTGAAGGATTACCAGATTAAAAAAAGCGAAGCGCCATTTGTATGATGTCATCATTAAGGTGGTACAACCTCCTGCAACAAACATGTTACGGGTCACTGAAGTCTTCATGGCATAAAAAAATTATTGTTTATGACAAAAAAATAAAGTACATTAATACGACAATAGTGTCAAACAGGAAAGAGCCGTCGGTTGATGTTTCTTAACTGACCTTTCATCTGGCTTTTGTTACTTTTCTTTTAAGAGAATCTGAGGCATAATGCAAGCTTGTATCAGTTTTGAGATTCAATCGTTGCTTCAAAGACTCCATACTTCACAGCTGCTTCCTTGACAATGTCAGCGATTTCCACACCAGAAAGCATTACAGCTTTGTTATGTGAATACAGTACATGTGGGTGAACAAAAAAAAGGAACAGAAAGAGGTGTATTCAAGATTATTTTAATATTATTAATATGTATACTTTAGGCTTTAGAAATATAACTATCAATGACAAAACTTCCACCGGAGTAATGGTAGTTTGCTTAGGGCCCCATCAAATCAATTAATTACAATATGCACATTATGATACAAAGCAGATTTTAATCTGAAATAATATTAAAATAAATGCTCAATAGATAAAGGTTTTAATCATTTGTCTTCAGCTACTGTTATTAGCCATCTGCGAGTTCTGAGCACACCCAAAATGTAAAGCCATTTCCTTCTAATAAACTAAATTAAGTGCAAACATTTGTTTTTCTTTAAAAAGACTATGATTGCAGCATCCAACTTTATAGATTGAGATTTAAAGACGGAGGATGACGAAGCCCAGTGCAACAAGGCAGTCCTCAACCCTCGTTTTTTTGTTCCATTAGAGAAGTTATAAAAACAAACACAATAACAAAATCAGTGCAAAGTTGTTGATGGTGAGATTCTCCTCAAGGAAAGACAGAAGGGGTGGGTGAATGTGGATGGATGCAAACATTTTCAGATGCTTACGCACTTGGTCGTAAAAGGATAGTTCATCCAAAAATCAGTCGGTAACGTAACCCTGAGCCAGGACTGGGCTACACCACAAGGTTAACAGAGGTTTAAGAGTACACACAGATTATGAAAATGACATGAACTATCCCTTTAACCTCAAGCCACAATTGTCTGGTTCACATCTAACAAAGCAAAGCTGCATTTCCAGAGGGGACAAAAAGTCTGATGTGATTTGAAATGAAAGAATCTAAAATGTGTTAAAGCTCCAGAGAACAATAGTACATTAGCGCAATAGTCCACAATTGCGCCACACCTTTTCTTGCTTCATTCCTCCTCTAGGTCAAGTGAGTGATAAACAAAACAAACAAAAAGAAAAACAGAAAAGCCATCAACAAAATCGGGGGGGGAGGGGAGGGTTATAAAAGAAAAGGAAAACTTGCAATGCTTGCAGGATGAAGAGCAGCATCAGACTCTGGGTTGCAGGGTTCTTTAGCAGCGGAAATATTGTGGCTATACTACTGTTCCACTGGGAGAGCTGGCTTGGTTTTGGGATGACAATAAACCCTGGAAAAAGGAAAACAAGGAGATTTGCATTGGGAAAGTTGACACACTGTAGCAAAAAAAAATAAAAAAAATCAAGCAACATTAGCTCATCAAAACTCAGCCTCTTCTTTCCACATCCCGGTCCCCTGCATTTCAAAAGGCTGTGCAGAGCGATCAAAGTGGAGGCCGAGTACACGGTGTAAAGACTCTTTGAAAGGTCTGCTTGATGAAGGCACTTCTACTGTACAGCACCATTTGTCCAGACCTTCAAGGGAAGTTTTGTCCTTTTCTTTTTTCAGGGCAAACTGTTAAGCATTACATTGTATTGCACTTCAGCTATTAACCACAAACAATTAGGTTTGTTTGAACTTCTTTCCTATTACTGAACTCTTAACTCTACTTTTATTGTACTAAGTAGTTATCCAAATGTATTCCCACTACTGTGTGGTGCCATCATTTACAGCTGCTGGTGTACTCCTCAATATCATGACATTGTCTGTGTTCTGTTTGAGGACAGACTACCTGTTAACGTAACAATCTCTCTTGACTAACTCGCCTTCAGACTGCCTGTATGTTCCAGATCCAGACTATCATGTGCCTCGTTCCGACAAAGTCTCTCAAAACAGACAAAAAGGGAAGTATAAAGGGGAGTATACACGTTAAAGCTGAAAGCATGTGAGGAACTGCAGAGATTCTTTGGGCAAATACACAGCATTTTGCATTAAAAGCTGAAATGTGAAAGTGTATGCAGATGACTTCTTGGCTATGCTGCTATGCATTGTGGGATGATTATGATGAACCAATGAACACACTTCATATGGATTAACGTCTTTTTTCCCCCCTCACAGGTCTACACAGGAAATCCTCCTTATCAGTGTGTATTATATAACCAGACTAATATTTCCATAGCAGTGGTTAGACTGAGGCATAATGGGTCTTTCATCGGAAAGCAAAGCAGATGTACATTAAACAAGTCTGATATGTTACTCGCCTGCCCGCAGAGATTGACAATGCGACTTATAAAAGCTAAAAATGCTATTCCAAATATATTTTATGCTTTCAGAATATGTCTTGCTATTAGTTAGTTACAGCCCATCAACTGACTTAAGGACAGCTTAAGCTTGAAAGACACTTTTTCCCCCACACATTTCCTACATTAAAAAGAACTTACCACTTTGCCTGGCCTCGCCCATGTGCAAATAAATCCCTCCTGACAAGCAGTCACTAAACAGTCCTCTAAAAATATGAGTACAGTCAGTCTCTCGTGTGCTATCTTTTTACAGATGAGGGGCTCAAGGAGGGGCACGTCCTCCATGCGCGGGCACAGCAGCGTGCCCAGAGTCTTAGCGGGGTCCGTTTTGGTTTTGGTCAGCAGGTTGAGCTTGTCGCTGCTCTTGCTGCTGATGTGACCCATGCTGTGGTTGCGTTTGTGGTCCTTCTCGTGGTGGCGTTCCTTCCGGTCGTGGAGTGACAGCGTGGCAAACTTACTCACACCAGTAGCAATGGCACTGTCCATAATACCACTGCCGATGCCGCCACCACCACCACTGCCGGCCTTGTTGGTATTGTTTGCCGTAGTTGTTGTGGTGCTGGCTGAATGGGGTAGGCTGTTGGAGCGTGGTAATGCAGTAGAGAGGGAGTTAATGCCGGGAGTAGTGGCACCACTGTTGCTTCCATTAGTAGTGTTACTAGAGGTGTTAGTGATTATTGTAGCACCCGCAGGGGGGCTGGTAGCATTCATCACGTTAGTGTGTGTCCGTGTCCGTGAGAGAGGAAGATGGGGGAAAAGGATGTCCTCGGTGAGGTCCCATAGGCACAGCTGAGTGTCCTGGCCCACTGAGCCAAACCTGTACGTGACACTAACAGGCCGGCTGTCCGTGGAGTTGCGCTTGGAGAGTCGAGACTGCGTACTGTTGGCCCGGTCTCGTCCAAAGTGTATCATCTGATCTTGGAAGTCCTCGTCGCTGCCACTGAACTCCATTGGGTCACTCTCCTCCACGCTGGTGGTGTAGTGGTCAAACGCCACCACGCTAACCCATGACTTGTGCCCGTGACCTCGGGCGATGACTCTGCAGTCCAAAAACGACCACACGGTCACTAAATCGTCCTCTCCGCCCGCAACTATGTACTTTCCGTCGGGGCTCCAGCACACGCACAACAAGCCGCCAAAGTAGCTCTTCATGGTGCCGTGAAGCTCGACCGCGTCGAAGTTGAAGACTCGTAGGAAGCCATCTTGGCTGACACAGGCGAGGAACTTCCCATCTGGAGAGAAGGCGAACTCGTTCAGAGCCCCCTCGCCCACTGTCCATTTAAGGAGAGGGTTCCGCGTGGATTTACTCTTACAGGTGTGTACAGAGTAGTTCTCTCCCTGTTTCAGCAGCTGGTAGTGTGGCGCCGTGGTGCCGCAAGTATGCTCCACGTTGTACAGGTACATATTCCCGCTGGCGTGAGAGACCAGGAACAGGCTCTCAGAACCTGGCACCCATTTCACGCAGGTTACTCTGGACTTATCAATTAGTCTCTGGCAGGAGGGAAAAAAAGAAATATCAGCATAGTATCATCAAGAAAACTATGTTGAAAGTTAATTTTGTCTATGTGGGATTTGACAGGATGCAACAACAACAAATACGCTTTCACCTGCAATGGCAGACAAAAATATGCAGATCTCTATCTGACAATATTCCCTCTACTCACACACAACTCTTGTTCATCTAACCTCCGTCCCTCAAGTCACCTACCTCCTCATTGAAGAGCTTGCTTGTCTCCTTCTTGATAGGGTCAATGAGCTGTACCTGTCCGGCAGAAAAACCCACCAGCAAGGACACACTTTCGGCTGTGGCCGTGAGGTGGTTGAAGTCATGACAGGTGGGCTGCGTTCCCTTGTAGATGCGCTTGTCTATGGGCTTGCTCAAGTCAGCAGCCTGAGGAGAGAAAGCGTGAATGCACATTCTTAAAATGTCTAAAATGACTTAACTTTGTTGCATGACAAAGGCTGAAGGGACAATGTTAATTCAAGTCAGTCAAAGTTTTCTTAAGTCGAGTATCTTGCAACCAAAGTTTACAAGAAGTAACATCTGAACTCAAAATAGCTCTGTACGTCCTTTAGCAACACATCAAATAGCCGACAATCACTGAGCAAAAAGAGGAAGGACTCAAGTATAGAGGTATGCTTTTCTCTGTAGATGGTCGATGTTAGTAATCATTCTGTATGATGAACAGTTTGTTTTTTAATGTCAGGTAAACGTTATTTTACTGCAGTGAACAACACACCATGGGTATATATAGCAGATAACCAGCATAATAACGGTTCTATTAGTTAATGATTGACAGTTAAACTACTGGAAGAATTGAAAAATGCGTTGAAGATAATGAGTCAGTGGTTAGATGAGACATTGAGTGGTTCTGTCTCACCTCAAGAGTGACCAAATGTCAAACCATGTCTACAATCCAAAACCAAGACTAGTCATAAGCAAAGCTCTTATGATAAAGTACAGTATGCATGATATCAAGACAGTGCTTTGATGGTTAACAATATCAGCAAAAAGGTTAGATAATAAGCCTACGTCAAGAGTGGTGAAGGATACTTCGAAGTAAGAAGGTAAAGTTTGTGCACATAAAGAAAATAAACAGGTCGATGTGATCTGATAGTTTTTACATGAGAAGAAAAAAAAAAAACATGTAGCCATGTATCTGCACCACACAATTGTGTATTTTACGACAAATTCTGTGATTTTTCTAACTTGTGTTAGTTCAGCCTTTAGCCAGTGAAACACATGACATGCACATGTTTCAGTGCGAATAACTATAACGCCATGACACATTGATTCAAGTTAGAAATCAGATGATCAGCTGTTAGCTGAACCCACTTGATGTCGAGTTAGTGGCAAAACATATATGACTGCTTTATGATTTATTGTTCTTGTTGAATGTAACTTGGGGCAGCAACAGCTGATATCCACCTTGTTATCTATTTTGGCATATTTGTCGTCAGCATTTCCCTACAGGCAGAGCAAGCTAAGCGCCATTAGTCAAAGGGTGACGAGCCAAAACGACTGTCCAGACACTGAATCAGCAGCATTGAGATTTGTCGACACCTGTCAGTCAAAAGGCGTCGACAGGTGTTACGGGTGGCACCGTACGAACTGTCACTGTCGTCACAAACTAACGCTATAACGTTAACCGATACAGCAGCAATGAAAACCCTGACAACTTAAATCAAATCAAACGGTCAACTATAGACTGGGGACGGAAATTAGCCCCCTGGCCTCGGGACTAAGTTAGCCGCTAACGTTAGCTTAGTTGCGTTGGCTAACGTTAGCTTCATCGTAGCATTAAGCTAACTAGCTGCGAGCTAATTTCAAAGTCAAGCGCCTGTCAAGAGTTATTTAACACATCCAACACAAGCCCGAAGTTCAGCTAACAGCTAGGACAGCAGTGGTGGGTTTTTTGACATTCAGTATCACGGGTTTCCGTTGACATTAGCCGCGTTAGCACGCTACCTTTCTAACGCCTTTGTAGATGTAGAAGTAGAGCTCACGGCCCACATTGAAACAGATCCGGTCGCCGTTGCCCGACTGGTCGTTGACGTTCACGAAGGAGACCTTAACGGGGTTAGAGCCTTGTGAGTTGAAAGGCACCCTGTTAGGACGGCTGTATTCGGAGTGAGTGAGGAGTTTATAGACGCCTTCCCGAGTGGTGAACTGAGTTTTAATTTCGTTCATCTCCTTCCCTCCTCCCTCCGCCGCCATCTTTGAAATTAACATTCATCCCTCTCTCCTAGGCCGGATCTTACGCAGGGTGGGGGGAACGGGCCATGTAGCGGACTCTCCCGGTCCCCCAACTGGTTCACCGGGGAACTGGTGGAGGAGCGCACGACTTTTAGAATAACAAGTTTACCACAGCATTGAACTTTTCTAAAACATCACAGTATTAACTGAATTTCAAACCATATATTACTTATATTACATGTCGGAAAAGAAAAGTTATACAACAGTAAGATACATCTGTGCGTTCGTGGTAAGCTGATAGCTGTAGTTTAATGTGGATTTAGAAACTCTTAAAATACATTTTACAAAATACACATTAAAAAAAACAGACTGACAATGTGGTCAGGATGATTTAAACTGATATTTAGGTTGTCGTGCATTAGCGGCAAAACCACTGCGGTCAAATCAGCAGACACTCAGATATCCGTGGTCAACTCAGCAGACACTTGAATTTTAGTGCACCTATATGCTGAAATGCACGGTAAACGCATTCAAACGGCATAGCTCGGGAGCGAGCGAAGGACTTTGCAAAGTTAGCGGAAAGATTAACGTGAGTCAACATCCGTTTTTCAGACGAACATCCTGTTTTCAGAATATGATGCCAACAAAGTGGATATACATATTGCATATATGAAAATAAGATTGAATTAATAATATTCACATTAAGTACAAAACAGGTTACCTGCATCTCGTGAGTCAAAGGGAAAATACACCTAAATTGTGCATGAAGTGTCTTTATTCTTTGATTTCTTCAAAATGTCTTCAAAATCTCATTCATGAAACAATTTGTCTAATTTCAGATTAGATTTTAGAGGAGATGGTGCATGGTTACAAAATCATTTCACTACAGGTTAATAGCAGACCACCTAAAGGTGCCACTCAGACAGAACCAGCACATTCTGATGTAGCGTTTCAAAATGAAAGCCCTTCAAAATCTCATTCGTGAGCTAACTTCAAATCACATTCATGAGACAATTTGACTAGTTTCAGATGAGATTTAAGAGGAAATGGTGCATAGTCACAAAATAATTTCACCACAGGTTAATAGCAGACCACCTCAAGGTGCCACTCAGACATGTTATTTTGAAAACCGGATGTTTTCTCACGTTAATCTTTCCGCTAACTTTGCAAAGTCCTTCGCTCGCTCCCGATCTGATTTGAAGGCGTTTACCGTGAATTTCAGCATATAGGCGCACTAAAATGTAAGTGTCTCCTGGGTTGACCACGGAGATCCGAGTGTCTGCTGACCTGACCTCAGTGCAAAAGCAGCGAGGTCAATATGGGTTTTATTTTGAAAAAAAAATCACCGGACGTATTATTTTGTTAAAATCTTTTAATTAGCCAACTAAGTGACGCTTTGAACTCGTGTAGACAGACAGTTCACCCGTGGCCACATTTTGCTGCATGATATCAAAGGCACCTGGCACTCTGCTGGTGGATTAATTGGCCATTAACCTGACAACACAACACATCTTTTACTTACTTTTACTTCATCACGGTGCAAATAAGTTTGCGGCAAATGTCATGGCATATGGTGGAAGATGACAACTCTGAAGACGACAACTCCAGGTATCAATATGTGTATAAATATTTTTTGCAAAATTAAAAACATTACAATACTAACTTGAATTTGTAGTATGTAGTATGTTTGGTGTCGTTAAAAGCATTGTTGCACAACGAATTATTATTTGTTCTCTAATTAGATCACAGGGATAGACATGTGCCCAACAACATGGAGCAGCTGGCTTTCAAATATATGGTGAGAGAAATCATTTAGCCGCATTTCATTACCATATTGAGAGTGCTTTGTCCCCCTGACAACTCTAAATCACATGCATTTAACTGTTTTCCTGCTTTGACATGTACGATGTGGATGGAGTGACTCTCTGTTTTCTGTCAGGAGTTGTGCAAAGTGGAGTCCAGCACTGATTCTGACTCCGAGATCAGTCCAAGGTGGTCGGACACCAGCACTATGGTATTGCTATGGTATTTCTGAATGTGAACATTACACACAATAAGCACATATGTGAACATATTGTATACATGTATTTTAAATGGCTTGAAAAGAGTTTGCACCCAATCCCAAACATAGGACATTTTCCACTGGATATCTCTATGAATTATTTTTTTAAATAGGATCAAATTGAGTTTCTCTCCCAGAAACTGACTCCACATGCTCATTATCTTGTCTCCAAACATACACACCTTCCTATGTCCACAGTCTTGTCTTTTGTGGCGTCAGTAACATCATTTAGGAGGGGAAGACATTGAATGGGCTCCAGCAGTTTAAATGAATCACTTGTTGATGGAAGAATCACTTGATTCCTTGTTGAGCAGGGATGTGTGAGCAGTACACCAGAGAGTGGGACTTTTCGGCGGATATTGCCGTTAACACACAAGCCTGCAGGAAGTTACTCTTTGGTGAGCACCGTCCTTTGTCTAATCCGCCCATTTCTGCCACAAAAGCATCCTGTTGTTCGATATTTTTATGAATGAATGCATGTGTGCTTGTGATTATAGTTTTTGGATCCATATGATGGGAGCTCTGAGGATTCTGACGAGTCAAACATTGATGTGGGTGTCTCCAGCAGGCAAACGAGGCAGCAGGGAAAAGGTGGTTGTGGAAAAGGAGGAGGCTGTCGGTTCTCGGGCAGGAGCAGGAGATTTATCCTTCATCACCCTGCTTCTGTTTCCCTCAGAGAAGTGGCGAAAAATGGGATGAGAGACCCCGTAACGGAGCAGCAGCAACATCTTTTGGATGTCCAGATGAAATGTGGGAGTGACTCTGAGCTGTGTGTCTGTGACATTATGCCCTCCCATAGTGACAGGGATGGCTGTAGAGATCTTACAGAAGAAATGGCCAATGATTCAACAATGCACAGCCAAACCACGGACATAGAAATGCATTGCCAATTTGATGATTCAGGCTTGCATGCTACAAGGCCCTCCGCATCCTACTTCCCTGGACCTGTAACCCCGGTGGAAGGGAGTTTGTCCCAGATGCTGGACAGCTCCTCTGAGACATCCCCCTGCCCCTGTAACCTCAGATCGATGTACAAGAGAAAGCTGGGTTTCCCTGAAACAGAAGTGGTGGAGCTGGGTCAAAGAAAGAGGCGCCGCGTTGTCAACATGGATGACGAACAAAAAGAAAGGGACTCTGCATCTGAACCATGTTAGAGCCATCTAATCGTGGACTGACAGACCGAAGTACTGCAGTCATTTTCAATGCCTTAAATGATTTAAGGTAGAAAGGACTATAAATAGTTACTTGGCAATGCACTTTTTTTTTCCTTATGTATCGATACAACGGTGTAGAGACCTGAGGGTTTATATTTGTACCTCGTTATTGTCTCATATGTGTCACATAATGTATCGATTGTCTTGAAGCAGTTGTGATTTTTGTTGGAAGACTTTAGTCTCCATAATGGACAACCTATGCACTGGTAATTAAGAAACTGTATTTTCCCCATCTGCCGATTAAAGAAAAGCCTACGTTCAAAAGGAGTTCTGTCCATGTAAGCTAAACACATATCTGCTATACTGAATAGTGGAGTTTGAGCACCTCCTGATATGTGCTGTGATCTGGGCTAACAAGAAACGTCCATCTCCTCTGCAAACTCTTGAAAATCATTGGGTATATTCTGTGATGCTGTCCACTACTTCAGTTTGCTGAACATAATTATTCAGAATCAGAACAGTTTATTGCCATCCTATGAACATAGGAATTTGGCGTGACGGGAGGTGCAAACATTTCACAGTCAGTGCAAGTAGAAACATTAAAATTTACAAGCGATATAAAGTGAAATCACGAACAGATGACAGGACTATAAACAAGTGAGATGTAAGTGTCGAGTAATAGAAGGGATGCAGGGAAGTGACCGGTGGGAATTTGTCCTGGGGATGAGTCAGTGGGGGTCCCGGGCTCTGTTAATGAGCCCGACTGCAGATGGAAAGAAGCTGTTTTTGTGGCGTGAGGTCTTGAGGTCAGAAGAGTGGGATTCTCCTCAAAGAAGTGTCAGACATTTTAATTAGGACAATCGGTTTCCTTGTGTGTCCAGGAGGATTAAAATAAGTCACTTATATCATTGAGGTACAACATGCTCAATCTGGTCTGCAGCTGCCAAACGGCTCACTAGCTGATCATGATTAACTTGTTTCATTGAGGCGTCCGCAGGGTGGGTGTCATAGTAGCTTGCTTCATGGGTGACAATTACAATTGTGTAATTATTGAAAAGATCTTAAATAAAAATAACATTAACAAATGCTTTTTATTTGAAACGTTCTTTTGTTTATTGGCCGCCATCCATTCGAGCATACCAAAAAGTTCTGTCAGGTCGGGAGCCCCCAACGCAGCTCGTTACACTGCCCATGCTCCATAGCTCAAAACCTCATCATCAAAGACCACTCTGAAACCGTTATTGCAGTTCATTTCATTCCAACAGGCTTTATTCAATCTAAAAACATAGTTTCCTTCATAAAAACATTTTACTTTCAACTTTTCCTTTTCCACATTTCGTCCCTTTCATTTACCACCCGACAACATTCTCTCGACCTTCTTCAACACTTTCCAGAAACACTAAGAATTACTATTTAATCACTGCTCCATGAATGTTGACAACTACGTTTTATATTGGAATGCAACAGGCTACAAACTACTTAACTTGTTATTAATAAGTAATGAATTTAAGTGATTATGTGTAGTTTAATAATCAAGACTCGGGTCTTCAGGAATGACCAGTGTTTCGTCTACTCGGTGCAGAGGACAGCGACGCCGCGCTCATAGAAGCTGTGTGGATCTTCCTTGGTGGCGATGTCAAAGTCAACCGTGAAGATGAGGTCAGACCTGGTGAAGTTCAGGTACACGGGGAGAGTCACCTGCAAGGACAAGAACAAAATAAATGTGATTAATAGCCAAAATCATTAGAAAAGTTAGCAGCATTCTATATATTTTTTGTAATTTTCTGACTGTATAGATTACTCGTTAGAGAGATGAATAGTTTTGTGTGTGTGTTCATACCATGTGTCTCTTCTCAGCACTGCTTTGCTTGATCCAGCGGAGCTGAGTGAGAGGCAGCTCAGTGGAGATGGAGGTGGACAGAGACAGCTTGTTGTTGGCACAAATAGCTCCCTGCAGCGTCAGACCTGAGAGAAAAACGTGAGCAAGAAAATATATTAGATCACAAAGTTCTATTGGTACCAATAAACTGGATTCACATTTGTCACAGTTGTGAGTATTTGACTAGGTTGCCACAGAATCAGTGTGAACCCTGATTGTCTGACCTTTGATGCCGAAGCTGCAGGCATCCAGCGCGGCACCCTGGGCGGTGGTGACATTGACCTCCAGACACAGCTCTTCCAGAGACCAGCTGTTTGCCTGGGCCACATACTGCCGTGTAGCGGTAATGTAAGCCTCTGGCGCAAACAGGCTGCCGAGGCACACGTGGATGCTCTGGAGAAGGAAGAGATGGAAAGAGAAAAGCAAACATTTCCAGTACCGTGAGTGGCTCTGTCAACGTTCAAGGAAACGAACATACTATTTATGTACAAGCTGTTTGATGCTGTACACAAACTGTTAACTAAAAAGTACCTTCAGTTCCTTTGCGCCCCCACTGGCAGAACCCTGGCTGATCTGCTGCAGCTGTTTGATTCGCTCACTGAAGTCCGCCACCCACTGGATCACAGTCATGGCGGCTGGAACTGTGTACCGACACCAGCCGCGAGGGAGGATGCCTGGGAAGCAAGAAAAACAGGTTTATTCCGGCATAATATAATCTGTTCAAAGACATCTTGTTGGTCAAGACCGACGAAGAGGAGTGTTTAAGTGTGCAGTGATTTTCCTATATTAATTTATCGGACTTCAAAACAAGTTAAAAATACATTAACAAAGAGTTAAAGATGACGGTTTTACCTTTAACAAGGTCGCTGATGAGTGTGCGCAGGTCGTTAGTCTGCTTCTTCTTGCCCTCGCACACTTGCACCACATCGGCCAGATCCTGACGAACCTCCTGCAGCATCTTGCCGCCCATCTTCACCTCACGCTCGAAGAACCGGAACAGTGGGTCCTGGTGTTTGTGTGTTTTAACAAAAGATATGAAATCAAATACAGAAGGGCGCAACGAAAAGAAAGTATATATATATATTCATCTGCTGAAATTCAAACCTGTGTCTTATTTCATTTCACCTCATCAGTCTACATTAAGTCATAAAACAAACTTGAATTACCACCTGGCGGTTGTATGCCTCCACCTTTCCTCACTTTTCTGCCATTACCTTGATGTTCTCCACTGTGCGTTTGAGTGGATTGACAGTTTGGGGCATGAGCTGCAGCCAGTTGCAGGCGGTGGTGTGGAGGATCCTCATCCAGGCCGGCTGGGCATCAGATGTGGACGAAGTGCGCTCCTTTATCTCCGTCTCGTAGGCAAGGTCATCCTCATCCTCCAACGTCTGCATTTTCAGCATCTTACCCATCATGTCAACGCCTGCGCAGCCGGGCGGAGGGAGGGAGGGAGTGAGCGGGGAGGGAGGTTGAAGACAAGGCCGTGGTGGGAAGGTAGGGGGAGAAGAAATTAATAGTGGAACAAAGACACCAACCGCTTACCTTGAGGGTGTGTTAATGAAAGGTTTGTTTTATCATAGAAAGAGTTGTGACGGACAAACAAGGACTATACTGAGTAGGACAAAAAACACAAAAGGCTTCAGGCAATATTCCCATCAAATGTAACATTCAACATAGTTCCCAAAAGATGAAATTAACCACATTCTTGACCGACTGGATCTGTAAAAGAAATTAAAACAATCAAGAGAATCTAAGGGGTAGGAATGAGGTTGAGGAAAGATGAGGAAGTGGGACAGGTGGTCTAAGGGGGGGATTCTGTGGCAGGTGGGATCGTAGAAGCTTGGAGAGGAAATCAATGGGATGAAGCGGGGAGGCAGGGTGTGATTGAGGGGACGGGGAGGAGTGTGGTTGCTTTGAATCTTAATCTGAGGGTGGGGTGAGGATAATACTTCAGCAAAGCGACATGATGGCTGTGAAATACAGCTGCTGGAGGGTGAGGACACACACACACCCTTCCTTTGGGCAGAGCACCTTTTAAAGTATGATGGCTATGACCACAGCTGGGCTACAACTCTACAGCTGAACTGTATGACTACCATATAGAAGACTAGGGGCTACTTGTGATACCATAGAAAACTAACTGGGGACGTGAACCCATGAGAAGATATATAGAACATTCTCTGCCACCACACACAGTATTCTGCCCAAAGCAGACGGAAAAATATAAGATCACCCTGTCAAAATAAAAGTAAAGACACTAGAATAGAGAGAGAGAGATGGTTAATAATCTGCCCTGTGAAAACATGGATCGTGGAAGAAGAATCAGGATATGTTGTGGTCCAGTTACTGTGACAGAACAGATGACGAAGATGACCGGCTGTGGCGTACCCTGAGTGGTGAGCAACACCTTCTCCGCATTGCTGGGCAAACCGAGCCAAGATGGAGTCTGAGTGTCGGGAAGCATCTCTACCCAGTGCATGAACTCCTCACGCCTGTGACATAACAAAATAATATTTCAACAGGTTAAGTTCATCAAGAAAAACATCCTTTTGATATCACTAAACCAAAGGAATTTGAAGAAAGGCCACTACTGACCGGATGCCGTCTGGCATTTTGATGTCCTTGTGCCCGTCGACCTTGAGAGCCAGCTTGAAATCGCTGTCGAAGCTCCTCTTGGTGAAGATGCGATCCATGAAGGTGTTGAGCAGACGCTGGTCAAACTCATTGTCAATGCGGCCGCCATAGATGGATTGAGCCATCAGGGTTTTCAGAGCCGCCCAGGGGATCTTGTCTGGTGCAATGTTTTGACGACCCTGTGTGTGTGTGTATGAATTTATGGTTTGTTGATATAAGTTTATATTGGCATCAAATGATTCTTATGCAGACACATTTAAAGCACTCTATATGATTTCTGAAAGGATCTCCAACCTTAGCAGTGTCGTCCAGCCAGGTGTCGATGGTGTCACAGGCAGAGCGGAGGTCAGACTCTCCAAACTCATATTTCTTGGACCAGCCCAGTGGTGCATAGCGCAGACGTTCCTGGATGACGGCATGGAACCAAGCCAGCAGGAAGTAGAGACGAGCACGCTCATTGGGAGCCTGGAGAAACATGGGGGGGGGGGGGAATTAAGATGGCAGTATGAGGATGTGTGCAAACAGCATGGATGGTAGTGATTAAGCTTCTGGTGGAAAAGTGTGAGTTTATGCATTGGTAGATCCGGATTAAGTGACCTTGCACATGCGAGCCACAGGGATGCTGCTGAAGGTCCTGAGCATGTTGGCCTTCACACCAGGAGGAGGCTCAAACACAAAGATACGACCGGCACGAAGCAGATTCACTGGAACCTGGCGGGAAATCACAGTAATGAGATTTTATGAGTGAAAGACAAAATGGGAACTCTGGGGCTAGAAGTGATCATTTACGCACAGCTTCATTATAAAGATT